CATATTTATTGACTGATGAGGATCGAGAGATCTGAAACAATTTGTATTAATAAATATGAAAACTGAGAAGCTGTTCTGATTATTGCTTTATAGACATTTTATACATATACATTTTATCTTACATACTACACAACTTACATCACTATAAAATACACAAATCTTACATTACTAAAGCAACTTATACTAAATTATTGAATATTAAAGCAACAAAATCGTAATGCATGTGTTAAACGAAAACCTTATTACTATGTCAAAATTAACAAAATTCTTACATACTACAGTTACAAAATTTTTTTTTTTTTTTTCTCTCAAAACGTTGCGTAATGATTTTATTTTCTCTTCTTTTTTAATTTTTATTTTGTTTATCTATTTTCTTTTTAATATATTTTCTTTTATATCATTTTTATTTTCTTTTCCTGTTTTGTAGTTGTCCCATTATGTTCTATTTGCGTCTGGGTTCAGTTTTCTTGATTCGTCGCGTTTTTTTGAAATGCTTTTTGCAATGCCTTAGATGGTAATGGTATTTCATCATTTTTCTCTCGTCCTGACCACGCGGAACATGTGACGGGGTCAAATTTAAACAGTTTCTCATTTTCTGTATAAATCAGATATGGTTCGCCATCAATAGTTTTTATTGTCCACTTATTTTGAAGTCTCGGAGTATTATGTATTTTTGGTTTCACAGTGTGAACGTTGTCATTGTTTAAATATCAAATTTGTGCATTTCTCCTTGTTCATTTTCTGATTTTAATCTTTTCCTCATAAACACGAAGCATTGAGTGCAGCATTTAAATGCGGATATGATGCATTTGCAGGGCCCACAGCATAATGATGTCGAATCTGTGCAAACATTGAAACAGCACATAAAAACAAGTAGCATTAGTATTAAAATTACTGTGTAGGATAAACCCATTGTAACCAGCTTATGAGTGTCATAAGTTAGGGCGTTTAATGGATGGAAGGAAAATTTTGGTATTGTTTTCATCTCATTCAAAGTATCCACATTAAGTTGTAGTTCTTGCAGTGATTTATGTTCTAGCCGTAATTTTTCTTGTGTTGAATTAATGGTGTCTATTAAACCTGATAGATCAAAAGGTTTATTTAATTTTGATTCCATATAACTGTTCAACTCGATTAAAGCCTGATCCATATCCAAATCCTCTTAATCGATATTCATAGTAGTTCTATGTGATACAAATCCTCCAGGTATTGATAGAAAATTAGTATCTCTTCCGCACCCATTTATATTAACTACTTGTGAAAGCCCTGCCAGGACATTCAAAACTTTCGCCGTTTCACATGAACCTCCCATACAACGGTATCTCCCTGTGTCCAATGTTCTGCTCATTATAGTTATAGAATTCTCTTTAATGATAAAATCTTGCTGTTTTGTCGGTCTTATCACTATATTGTCATAACATGGATAGTACGGCTTTGTATCGTTGTTGAGCCAGTTATGAACAATTACTAATTCACAATTATCAGTTCCGTTTATGTGAACTAGGGTATCCTTGCTGTCGCAGTATACGGAATTTCCTACTGAAGTACATTTTTGTATGAATTCCGAACTGAATACATATTCCCCTAGTGAGTTAATTGCTACTCCTGGTTCGATCAATAATACATTTCCCATTTCCAAAGTAGTCTTATCATAGGATACTACCATAGATTTGAGATTGAAAATCTTGAAAGGTTCTGATAATCTCTGTATTGTCACTATAATTGTAAATTCTTCATTTTCCCATGTTATTTTAGCTGTTGAAAGTTTTAGCGATTGAATCGCGCTTGATCCAAAGTGTTGGCTTAAGTCTCACATGTTTAGATAGAATATATCTAGTCTGTCCATGAGAACATTAGTTATCCAAAGTTTGTATTTATCGATTGTTTTCTCTAAGAGTAGAAGTTCCATTATTATTTGAGTCAACTTATTTGATCTTTTTATGTTTTTATCTAAGATTCCAAGTATTTTATTTACATTTTCCTCTCCTGATATTTGTGAAGATATAATCTTAGTTATTTGCTCGTTGATATCTTGTTCATCTGCCAAACTTTTTGCAATTTTCTCAGAAATCTCCTGTATTCGTTTTGTAAGTTCCTCATCTTGTATCGTTAGATTGCCAAAAGTATTTCCAGCAATTCATTTTCAATCCTTCTCATGTCTTCTAATTCATTTTCTTCAGCTAAGCCTGTCATTGAACTAAGCCAATATGATACAAAGGATCTTTTAATTCTCCGTTGTATTAATGTATCCACTTTATTTCCTTCATCAATCATAGGAATATCATAACAGTCCATGTTTGAATCTGTGGTTGTTGTACTTTGATGTGTTGTTCCTGTTGTGGATATCATTCTTGAACTTCGCATTGTGCTTCGTCTAGTAGTTTTTCCAGATTGCTTGGTTGTTGTATATGTTCTTGATCTTTGTGTGCTCGGATTAGAATTCGTTATACTAGTTGTAGTAGCACTGTTGGACAACGATGTTGTTGTAGGAGGGTTTTTCGTTGTTTTAAATGTTGTTGAAGCTATGTGCGATATTGATGTTGTGGAACTAGTTGTAATCGTCATTCCGGATGTTGTTGTTGCAGATGGATAAGTGCTGATTCCTGTTGTATTTGTAACGGTTGTCATCTGTTGTTTTCTTGTTGTCATTATTGACGAAGTTGTTGATGTTGTTGTATTAACGGTTGTAGATTGTATTTCCACTGTAGTAGTTATGGATGAAGAAGTTGTTGATTTTGTTGTAGTTGTAACAGTTGTAATTTGTCGTTCTGTTGTTGTAACTGTTGAATGAGTTGCTGATGTTATCGTGGCAATTGTTGTAGATGGTATTTCGGTTGTAGTAGTTGTAGATGAAGAAGTTGTTCTCCCTGTCGTAGTTGTATCTGACGAAGAGATCGATGATGTTGGTGTTGTATGTGATGTATCTTGTGTATATGGGTATGTACTTACATGTTCGATCATGTATAATATTGACGTTGTTGTTGTTGATAATATTGATTCCATTGTTGTTGGGAATATTGTGTTTATTAATTGTGAGTCCGTTGTACCGGTTTCTTGATCTGATTCTGATGGATTTTGAAAAATATCTTTTTCTAGTAGGTTTGTGTATCGTCGTTTTCTGGGTTACTGGATATCATTGGCATCAATTACAGGTATAGAATTATAATCATTTCCGTCATCTTCATTATTTATTTCCATATTATTTAACGGAGATTGATCGTTTTGCAGCTGTTCAACGGTCGGTATATCATTTTCCGTATACTCTTCCCTAGATTGATCCTGTTGAGGTCTATTTATATTATTAGAGTCAAGGTTTTGTTTACTCATTGACAAAGCTTGGTTTAGGTCTTTTGCGTTATTTGTCATCATTATAGATTTGTTCATAAATTTTCTCCTGGTCATTTGTTTCGGCTTCTGAGGGATAAAATCTTGTCCTAAATTTAGAGTATATATTAAGTCTGTCATCGTTACCAATTTATCTCTTGACAAGATGTGATATAACTTCCTTAATGCTCTAGGTGAACATTCCTTGTTTAAAACTCGATCACAGTAACATTTAAGATCTTGTTCTGTACTAGCTTGATTCCATAAAATATTCCATTGTTTTTCTTGAAAGGGTATCTTTCCTTCTGATTTTTGTAATCCTTTAATTCTGTTAGAGGTTCTAATAAAAAAAATTAGGATTATTATGTATGTTTTGGTCAATTCCAGTCTCGTAGGTGGTGGAATTTGTGTTCTTATAATTTTCCTTAGAAAATTGAAAAATTCTATTTCATTGTTTTCTTTTGTATATTCTCCAAACTCATCCAGTTCGTTTTCCCTTTTTCCATGTTTTAAAGCTTTCTCACAAGATGGCATAGGTCCAGGTAGATACATTAGAATTTTCGTAACTATTTGGTTATAGGATATTTTGTTTATTTTTAAGGATGGATCCAATAAAGATTCAGATGATAATTCAACTAGTGTCAAATACGTTATATATGTCTAGTTCGAGATTTTCTAATTTTGAAAAAATGATTTTCCCCAATGTGGAAAAAAAATTGTTTCGTAGTCCTGTTTCGATTATATCAGCTTCCGTTAAAGGTTCGAGGTCTCCTACACATGCAAAGATGCCATCATCATCGTCATCTGCATAGATGTGTGTTGAGTTAATCTTTGTCGATTTTGTTTGTCCTTTGTATTTTCCATATAAACTATAAAATTCCGACATTGAAGTGACGAATATATGATTGGATCTTTTAGCAATCTGTCGCAAATATTTTATGCAAGCCTGTTCCGATTTTGATTCTGTCGCACTTTTGCAGCTAATTTTTGTTTCTGCAATTTCTACGGTTATTCCTGTTGTAAGACTCTTTAGCCTGTCATCCCAGTTCATTACGACCATATTAATAGGCTCAAACAGTTTTAAGTTTTCTGAATCGCATATATTTTTGGATAATTCAGCTGTTTTTTTCCCTTTCAGAACATGTAGTGTCAAACCCTCAGAATTCACTGTGAAATCTTTTTCTGTGACGAATAAATTAGTATCCAACAAAGTTTCTGTAGATGATGATAGAGAGTCCAAGGTCGTGAAGAAATTTCTCGTGTCTATTGGAATTGATATAGTTTCGGTTTCTTTTTGCATATACAAGGTTCCCTTTTCTTCTACACTTGTACTTGAGTGTATTTTACTGTTGAGTTTTCTGTTCGGCGTCCTTTCCACTATGCCTGTCTGTTCTGCTTTCTCTGGTGGAGTACCGTCCGTCCTGTAAAACTTATTTATAATTTATATAATTTATATTTATGTTGTATGCATACATAAATTTGTTTTCCCCCCTTTTTTTAAAAAGTAATTATCGAAATGTTTATGACTTCAGTCCTTTCCTAGTCATAATATCCAATTTCCTGACTTGCAAATAAATATTTGATATTCGTTATGCTTTAACTTGCATAAATATCCAATTTAGATGATTCAATTTTATAAACAAATTTCATATTAGGCTTTCAGTATCTAAGTTACCTTCCATACAGTAGTAGCACACTTAAAGTGAACATTAACCGTTCTCCCAGTTTTATCTGTAATATTATATATTAATCGTTTCCGAGTCGAAAATATTTTGTTTTTGTTATCCAAGACAATAATTTGAGCCTGCACTGATTTTATCCGGCTGAAGCTTAGAAATTTTATTATAGGAATTTTGAATCAGGTCTCTATTAATTTTCAGTTTAATATAATTTCCAAATCATAGTTAATATTTTCATACATGTTAATTATACGCTTCATTTGTTAGGTTTTAAACTTTCATGTTCTTATTTAGCGTGGAGATGAAGAGCCTCTTGTTACCGGGAATGAAGTAGAAGACCTTATTGAAGAAGTAGATACAGTCTTCCGTGAAGATCATGATTAAGATCTTCCTGATGAGTATTCTGATTCCATATTATATTATTAAATGCCCGGTATACATTTCATTTATTTCGGTTTCAAGACTTTGTGGATTCACACACACATTTATTTTCAAATTTAAACACTTATGAATGAGTCTATTCCTGTTCTATTTTCTTCTTTTAACCATTTCCTAATAATTTTACAGAAAATTTAAAATTAAGAATAATCTTGTATTAAGGTTTCAAAATGTCGTCTTGAACTCAATTTTATTCCAGTTTTCTCAATTTTAAAGTTACAATTAAAATTTTGTTTTAATTTTAGAAAAGGAAAATTTTTTTTTTTTTTTAAATTAATATTAATAATGTTATAAAGTATTGTCTTACATTATATATTTTCTCTCTCTTTCAAAATTAAGAATGACCTTGGATTAATGTTTTAAAATGTCGTCTTACATTATAATTTTTCTCTCTTTCAAAATCTTCTCTATTCTTTCTAATATTTTCTATTCTCTATACACAATTTTTAATTTGTATAACATTTTATTCTCTTCTTTATTTTAAAAAACCACAAATATTGGATTAATATTTATATTTTCAGAATGATGTTTCATAGTTTAAAGAGTAAACAATTATACTGAAATTTATTGGAATTCATTAAAAAATTACAGGTTAACAATAAGTAGTTATCGATACTGTTCTTTTATACTTATTTTTCTCACAACATTTTATATTCAGCTTCTAATATTAGGATACAAGATAAACTTATTACTAGGTTATCTTTAATATGTATTTTTCCGGATGGGCAAAATTTGAGTTAGTTTTTACTATTCCAAAATATATTCATAGATATAGGTATATATGATCCGGTCATATTCAATACTAGATTAACTATATACAATTATGCATTTTATTCAGTTTCCGATTCAGTTTCTGAATTTATTTTGAACTCATTCATTAAGAATTCATCTAGTAGCAAGTCTTGTCTTTGATGACTTGTATCTTCTCTAATTTCAGGATCGCGTGTTTCTGGCAATGGAATAATATCCTGTTTTGAAGTGCCGCTTTCTGGTTGTACTGTTACTGTGTTATTGTCCATCCAGAGATCTTCATACAGCTCATCATACAATGCTGTTTATTGGTTTCTCATTAAGAACAGTCTCTAATTTATGAACTGATTTCCTCATCGTCATCACGGTCTAATAATAAATAAACTTATTTCTGTGGAGAAGGTATTTTCTCAATGTACTTCCGGTGACAAAGCTTTTGGAAAGCTTTGCACACAAATAATTAAAAACCTAGATTTTTTCTGATAATTATAAGTTTTATATTTTTGTCATTGGTTCAGCTTTTTAGCATAAAGTAGAATTTATCTCATGCTTATGTTTAGCTATTTGCTAATATTAGCATAAATAAGTAAATTCATACTTAAGTTACAAATCATTGTGAATTGTTGTACAGTCAATGTACCATTTCTAGAATAGAACAAAGAAGGAAAAAATGCAATTTTTTGCAATGCATAATTAGCACTGTTTTTCACTATTTTAACAATCAAAAAGTTTCTTCTATTTGAAATCAAACGTGTTTTGGTCTTTAACTCAACAATCATTTACTTTACGGATTTGTTTATATTATCCATTTTCATTCAAAATGCATATGCAAACAAAAAAGTATTCATAAAAAGGCTAAAAAAATTATGTTTAATGGGTCAAATTGTGATCAAAAGTCACAGCTTTCTGGAATATTGATAGAACCGTTAAATCCACATGAGCTAGAAGGATGGTTTCTGATAAACTGTATATATAACAGTGGAACCCTTAATAACGAATACATCGAAAGAATTCATCAAATGTCGTACTCTCCACTTTCTAATAATGGAATGTTATTTAGTTTTTTAATTAAATGATTATATGGAACTCTTTAAAACTGTTCCCGCATATTAATGGCTTTTTATTTATTTTCGCAAATACTGAAATTTACGTAATGTAGTATAAAACTCATTGAAAAATTGTCAAGACAACATTTGATAAATTCTTCCGATGTATTCTTTATTAAGGGTTTCACTGTAGTAGTGAGGGGGAAATGAATATTGTATTATATGAAAGAAATTTATCGACCTTGCAGGCCCGTACCCAGGGGGGGGGGTGTAAGGTGCAGGGGCACCCCCCTTTATTCTGAAAGAGGGGTGCAATGACGAATTTGCCCCCCCCCCCCTAGTCCCATACAAAAGAAATTGTTTTCATAAGTTTCTAAAATCTAGTTATAAATTATATAGCCCGAGTATGAATTGATTTCCAAACCAATTATAATCTATTTGTGCGTTACTCATTAAGAGTGTGACGGAGTTTTTGTGTACTCTCTGAACTCATCCCCTGAGTCAAGAAATATATAGACCAGGAACCGCCATATCTGATGCGTCAAATTTGTGTACTGCAGTGGGAGGCGATCAAAACAGAATTCATGGGCAAAACATCAATTATGAGGGGGGGGGTGAAATAAAGTATATTGCTATCGTAGACACGAATACTGATTATAAAACGAAAGACTATTTGTTACTTGAGAGTATATGCTTTAAAGACAGGAGAGGGAAATGATAATATCCAAGATTATATTCAAATTGTGAAACTTTATATGGTAAAATTCGGATGTTTTAATAAAAGCAAAAACAATTCCTCACTCCATGGGAATCAATGCAAAGAGGAACTGTAGACACATATTTCAACGCGTAACAGGACTGCACAGTACATACATAATTGTGTCCCTAATATATAAAGATGCATGCCTGATTCACAACGGTACCTTTAAAATTTTTTCGAGAAATGCCCATTGAATATTAGTCATTAAGAAATAAAACCTTCTAACATAAAATTGGAGAAAAATGTTATCCATATCATAATATATTTATTCTTATACACTTTTTAACATTCTATTTTAAAACAAGAAGACCGTCCAGCTTTTTAACTACACCGTAATTCTAAAACATAAATTGAGCAGTCTGTTTTAGTGTTCTGACATTATTTTTACTTTTTTCCTTAAAGATTACATTGAGTTTTTTCAGTCTACTGAAAAATCTAACATTTACAAAAAGTTTAATACCTTCCCGAGGCCATCAATTGCTTATTGCAGCAATAGCTGAAATTGTTTTTTCGATTGGATCTCGACCTCTATCAAGTGACTCTCCATGTAATTTTGAAATATTTTCTCTTTAGATGGATAAACCATGGGATCCTCTAGATTTTCAGTCTATCCAATCACAGTTTGTTTTATCCTCACTGCCTCTGACAAGGCCGGGAACTTTTGTGCTGAGTTTTTTGGCAATAAATCCACATACATATATAAGTTCCTGTTTAGAGGACTTTATTTGTGCTGAATTGTCCGCACTCATAGGTTCCTGAAAACAGATAAAGTTAGCCGTTTAGGGAATAAGACTAAGAATGAGTTGCATTTTATGTTTGATAACTCTCTTTAGGATTAGAAGTAACAACTATGAAAATAGGTATTTTTAGAAAAAATTTATCATTTAAACATTGGGAGGAAGGATACTAACGTTAGAAGGAAGATTCAAATGTTGGGAGGAAGGATTAAATGTTAAAATGAAAGATTCAAACGTTGGGAAGAAGAATGTAAGCCTTGGGAGGAAGGATGTAAAACTTGAGAGGAAGGATACAAACATCGGCAGAAAGGCTTTAAACCTTGGGAGGAAGGCTGTAAACCTTGGGAGGAAGGATGTAAACCTTGGGAGGAAGGATACAAACATCGGCAGGAAGGGTTTAAACCTTGGGAGGAAGGATGTAAACCTTGGGAGGAAGGATACAAACATCGGCAGGAAGGGTTTAAACCTTGGGAGGAAGGATGTAAACCTTGGGAGGAAGGATACAAACATCGGCAGGAAGGGATTAAACCTTGGGAGGAAGGATGTAAACCTTGGGAGGAAGGATGTAAACCCTGGGAGGAAGGATGTAAATCTTGGGAGGAAGGATGTAAATCTTGGGAGGAAGGATGTAAATCTTGGGAGGAAGGATGTAAACCTTGGGAGGAAGGATGTAAACCTTGGGAGGAAGGATGTAAACCTTGGGAGGAAGGATGTAAACCTTGGGAGGAAGGATGTAAACCTTGGGAGGAAGGATGTAAACCTTGGGAGGAAGGATGTAAACCTTGGGAGGAAGGATGTAAACCTTGGGAGGAAGGATGTAAACCTTGGGAGGAAGGATGTAAACCTTGGGAGGAAGGATGTAAACCTTGGGAGGAAGGATGTAAACCTTGGGAGGAAGGATGTAAACCTTGGGAGGAAGGATGTAAACCTTGGGAGGAAGGATGTAAACCTTGGGAGGAAGGATGTAAACCTTGGGAGGAAGGATGTAAACCTTGGGAGGAAGGATGTAAATCTTGGGAGGAAGGATGTAAACCTTGGGAGGAAGGATGTAAACCTTGGGAGGAAGGATGTAAACCTTGGGAGGAAGGATGTAAACCTTGGGAGGAAGGATGTAAACCTTGGGAGGAAGGATGTAAACCTTGGGAGGAAGGATGTAAACCTTGGGAGGAAGGATGTAAACCTTGGGAGGAAGGATGTAAACCTTGGGAGGAAGGATGTAAACCTTGGGAGGAAGGATGTAAACCTTGGGAGGAAGGATGTAAACCTTGGGAGGAAGGATGTAAACCTTGGGAGGAAGGATGTAAACCTTGGGAGGAAGGATGTAAACCTTGGGAGGAAGGATGTAAACCTTGGGAGGAAGGATGTAAACCTTGGGAGGAAGGATGTAAATCTTGGGAGGAAGGATGTAAATCTTGGGAGGAAGGATGTAAATCTTGGGAGGAAGGATGTAAACCTCGGGAGGAAGGATTTAAACCTTAGGAGGAAGGATTTAAACATTGAGAGGAAAGGTTTTAAATTTTAAAAGAAAGTTAAACCTCGGAAACAAGGATAAGTGGGAATCTTTTTACCTTGCTTCTCCTTATAAATAATTTGTATCCGCACTAACTTAATATATTAACTAGTTTCTTTTGCGTTTGACTGTAACATCACTCTGTTTATCAGTGTTTAGTCCTTTCTCTTCAACTGCTGTGGGGGCACTGGATTTGTTTACATTCCTCCCACAGTGTACAGTACACAATTTGCGTATATCTGAGTTGGGCGTTCCTGGTCTATATATTTGTTGCTTCTAGGGGTCAAAGTGTACTTCAATGATAAGTGGGATGGTTTGGTGTTTTAATGGATTTCATAATTATTAAACCACTCAGGAGTGAATTTTATTTTGAGAATATCAAATTATTTCACTGAGCAATATATCATATTGACGAGAACAGAAGAAGGACTTGAAAAGGACTAAACTAACTTAAATTTCTCTCTACAGAACTCATGTACACCACAAGTACTCAATGAAATAAGAACAGCCAATGTTCACAACCGACCTAGTTAATATCTATATGATAGGGATATCTTTAAAACATCTCTGTACATTTATATCTTTCAAGATGAAAATGTCGTCTTATGCACAATCTATCTTTATCTATGGATATTCCTGGTGTAGAATGCCGCAAATAATTCCAAGTTTATAGAACTTCAATCTTTTTTGTTAACTTTAGTGAAAACCATAGAAGTTTTCCGGGTGGTTCCATGGGGAAAATTATCGGCAGAGGTATGCCGAATATTTTGCTATTTTTTCATATCACGAAGGTTAGCCATTACGGAAGCAGAAGAGATTTAAGTTTTACCTAAATAAAGTCTGACATCATTCTCATGGGTTTGAAGATTTCAACATGATATAATTATCCATATTTTATGCCCTAACGTGGCCAGATTTTTAAAAAATAGTTTTATCTTCAAGAAATGGAAACTTTTTAAAACAAAATAATCGAAGGACGAGGATTCCGAGGTGGTTCGGACGAGAAAATGAGGAGAATGTGGTTCGGACTAGAGATTGATGTGGTTGGCCTTCCTCCCTCTCGATTCACAGATCTTTAAGAAGTTTTATATGTCTCAAATGATTCCTAAAGAAGCTTTCCACAATACTGCATGCTCAGTTCAACTACCTTACATAGCTGGTCTGTCCCTTTAATGCAAAGATATAGAGATTAGAAATTTGAGTGTGTGGCTAGGAGTCAATTCCTTTGAGTAAATAAGTGTATAAATAATAAACCATTTTCTATCATGTGGCGTACAAGAACATGCTTTAGAATACTCACGTTGTAAAGCATGAAGTTTAGAGATGAATTAATTTATTTTCCCGAATATAATATGCATAAAAAACAATTTTAAACCATGTGATTATTTTAAATTATAAAGAATTAACTATTTTCTTCATTAAATTTTACCTTCATGCATTTTCAGATAATTGATTTTTAATGCGGAGAAAGAGCATTGAACTGAAAAGGGTGAATTAATAATGTTACAAAGTTTATTATTTATAATAAAATATGATTTACTTTGCTCTATCTTTTACTTCAACTTTAAATTGTTTCTCAATGTTTCAGCATTTTCTCTTGGAAAAAAACAATAATAAATATTTTGCGAAATAACAATTCTTTTCGTGGTTTTTCAAAATGTTACGAAAATCAACAATTTTTGTACACACTTACCTTTTTGTAATTCTAAGCATCCATAAACCTTCCCTGGGGTCATATGTGAGGTCCCATACAAAATTTTGGCCCGATCGGTTCAGCCGTTTGACAATTAAACAGACAATCAAATTATAGTAATAGTTCATGTTTTAGAATTTTCCATCTTATAAATATATTTCTCTATGCATGTAGATTGTAAAAGTAAGGTCTAATTATATTTAATTTTTTAATCCTTTTTCTTTTTCTTAGTTACATTCATGGCTCCCTTCCGACCAAAACCAGTTTTTTTGTTCTGAACCATTTAAACACTAAATTGAAGGAAGAAAACCAAAATGAAGCTTAAAATCGTCATTTTTAAAGAGTTTTGGGTCGTCATTACGGTCGAATTTTGTAAACCCTGAATAAAAGTCATATATATTTAGAAAGTCCTTGGGCTAGATAACTTCTAAACCTTCTCCTCTTCCTCTCCGTTTAAAATCTCACTGATGCTATATTTCTTTAAATGACGGGATTGAATTAAAAAAATTGAAATAAGAGAAGAGTTTATAATCTATTCATATTGATGCACGTTAAACTTCATGTGGGGTTTTTATTACTCCAATGCAGCATAATGTTTAAAAAACTGGGTTTTTTTCCATCACAAGAATGCTATGTCGATGGTAAAAATGTTTAAAATCTTTTTCATAACATTAATTGCAAACAATTATTGAGAAAAAACGCAAAAAAATATTTGGATTTTAAAAACGGTTTTTACCCCCACGATCTAACTAGAGATGGGCGCGTTCGGATTTTTTCATTTAGTTCGTTCATCGTTCGTGAACGAACCATTTTGTTTATTCTTTTAAATAGATTTCTTTCGTTCTCAAAATTATCGTTAATTTTTCTTCAATTTCGTTTGTTTTCTAACTGTACGATCGTTCAGTAAAATTTCTCGTTCGAAAAATTGTTCTTTCAGTAAAAAAGCGATCGTTTTTTAAAAATCGTTTGAAAAAACCCGTTTGTTCAGTAAAAAATATCGTTTTTTAAAGTTAATTTGTTCAGTCGTTGGTTCAAAAATTTGTCATATTTACATAACGTTTCCAAATGAAGATAAGAAAGAGGGTAAGGTAAGAGAGCTGGGAAAGGTAAGGGGGCTGGGGACCTTAGAAGTTAAACCTCACAGGCTAACTTTTTCATTTTTGTAGTCCTAGCTATGTGCATTTTATAAATCTGAAGCGCTGTTTAAAGCTTTAGTTTTTATGAAGTAATTTACAAAACTACCATTAATTTTTACGCCGGAGATTGCAACCTTCGTATCACTATGAATATAGTCAGGGCTTGAAAAAAGCCCAAGAGTGATACTATTTGTCATTTAAAAGATTTCTTTATTTTGATCAAAAGTAAATTAAACTTTCCAAAAAAGTTTTTCATAATCACAGAAGTTTTCCCATTAAACAAAGTGACGACAATTGTATTGTTTTGGATGATTCAAAAAATGCAAATATTCAAAAATATACCTTGAACCAATTTTTTTCTCCAAAATGTGGTCTGATGCCACATACAGTCGTCGTCGTATATATTAATACAATGGAGATGACTTTAGATTTCAATTTTGAATTCGACCACGCTGTCAAACAGCATGAATTTACACATGAACATGGAAACAAATAGAAGCTTTCATTTTAAAGAATTTCTTATAGTTCACTTAAAAAAAAGATTGTTGGAAATCAAAACTTAAATAGAAAAGTCGTCTTCATAGTATTATAAAAAGTACCAGGTATCGAAAATTTTACTTTCAATGGTAATTTTGATCATTAGATTTTCACATATGTTTGCGTTGCGTAAAATACAGATGGTTTTAAAAGCGTAACTTTATTCCCATGTTTATTGGGGAACTCTGTATCTGTTGTATAATGTTTATTGGGGAACTCTGTACCTGTTGTATAATGTTTATTGGGGAACTCTGTACCTGTTGTATAATGTTTATTGGGGAACTCTGTACCTGTTGTATAATGTTTATTGGGGAACTCTGTACCTGTTGTATAATGTTTATTGGGGAACTCTGTACCTGTTGTATAATGTTTATTGGNAAAGGGGTTCCAAGGTCAGTGTACTATGGGGCAAAAATTTTTATTTTTTGAAAAACTCTTGACATGTGGTCCCTAGACTATCACATGTGCAGGTGCAACCACACGCAATATTAAAATGTTTTTGATCAATATAATGATAGTGTCTGATATGACTTTTCTTTCATGATAAGTCCATATTTTCTGTCTTACGTCAATCTTTATGCAAATTTCTGTCCTAATCAGATATACCCGGAAATAATTTACAATTAATCAGACGACTTTGCAATCTAATTTTTAGATATGATTGAAATACAATTATCACAAAATAGACCTAGTCCTGTCCTTTCCAAAATGTAGTCTACCTTTTTAGAGCATATTTGAAATTGCTAGAAATATTATTAATATTGATTATTTAAATATTAAATCCAAGTCTTTCTGATTCTGACTGTTGTATACTGCATATTAAATCTGAACTTAAACAAAATGCATTTTAGCCTAAAATGCCAGAAAACTTAACATACTATGATAAAAAGAGAGGCTAAGTTTGTCTAGCAATTTCATAGCTTAAAATTTGAAATTTTTAAAATATTGAACTACTGACCATGTAATTTAGTTTAATATGATCCTCTAACTGTATAGCTATAGTAAACTTATATTTTAAACTAATCAAAAAAATTATAAATATACACATAAATAAAAATTTTCCAAAATAAAAGCCAATGTTTTCTATTTCATTCTATATTTTCAGAGAGAAGACAATAGTAATTAAAAATTGTAAATATTTAACTATTTTGCATAACTAGATTTGGATTTCTATTATTATTATAGATCAATTTGATCAATATTATGTATGATTATAAATAAATTTAGTTCTTTTACTTCAGAATCAGAGTTATATCATTTTCCTTTTTTAAATCGTTCTTCACTTGTTCATAAGTTTCAAACCAGTCGTCAAAAATTAATAAACATGTCTTCTGAAGAGCTTAAAGGGACTGTAAAGGAAAAGTGAAAGGGGGTATAGGCTGAAAGCTAATCACTTTAGCTCTTGTTCGCGACCCATGAAAGTTTTATCTGATGTTCCTGTCTCGAGAAATTGATATAAAACTGTGTTAAAATTATACGAAAGTTCATAGATGTAAAATTTAGAAAATCTAAAATTTAAATCACGTGACCAGAACTATCACCAATGGCAGTGCAGTATACTGATCACGTGTCTTCGCCTGTATCACGTGACCACTTTACTGCACTGCCATTGGTGGAACTTCTGGTCAAGTAATACGGAAGTATAAATAATATTATGAATTAAATCTATTAGAAATAGAAATAACAAATATAAAATTAGAATTGGAGTAAACCTAAGTTACAGTTAGCTTTCTCTGGGATATCATCGTTTTCAGATTGGTTGCATATTTGCTGAATTTGATCTATTTAAACCCTCTACTTTTATACAAAATTGTATATATATCAATTTTCGTATAAATTTGACACAGTTATAAATCAATTTCTCGAGATAGGAACATCAGATATGACTTTCATGGGTCGCGATCGAGAGCTAAAGTGATTAGCTTTCAGTCTATACCCTCTTTCTTTTTTCCTTTATAGTCCCTTTAAATGAGTTTCAAAATTAATTTCCGAGATAAAATTGATCTAGAATAATAGTAAACATCTTTATAAGAACTGATAGCTGCATTACTTTAAAGATTGGTCCATTCTTTATATATTAGTAGATTACTGATATGAGTGTTTAGGTTTAATAGTTTCTTTGGAGAGAATATATTTTTGTCATGTTTATACGTTCATGCTGTGAAGCTATATATAGCTTCATATTTTCAAATTATGATTTAAATGCACAACAAGCTGGCAAGAACATTCTAGAAATACAATTAAATAGCACTAGAAAATAATTTTCAATGGAATGTTTTAGCATTTTATAATAAAATTTTAAAAAATCTATCACAACTAAAAACAATTTGTAAAAGAGAGTTGTTCACAAAAAAGCGAAAGAATAGCGGGGCCTGATCTCAAAAGGGATGAAAGAGATTCTAAATTGTATCCCATTAAGTATCCAATGATTCACAAACGTTATTAACTGTTAAGTTTATAATCATACATCAAGATTTTAACGATCCAAGTTGGGAATGGTATAAAACACGCAATCGCATTGCAAAAAGTCAGCAATTCACAACTAAAAATGATAATACCTATTTATAACAGGTGATGCATACGATATTAACAATAATTACTTCTTTGTGACAAAACTAGAACTTTGGTATGTAACTTTATATAAATTATTTATGTATAATACTTTCTGTCTCATTAGCAACTTTGATGGAAGGTGAGATTTTTCGCCTTTTATAAATAAAAGCACTTCTAAGTTTGGTAAATGGACTGTATCTTGAAATGACCCCTATTAAAGAATTGTTAGAATTTTTCACAATGGTACACATCATACTATTATATATATCCACAATAATGAAGAAGATATCGGTCTGTTAATTGACTTCTTTGTCTCTTCGACATAAATACGCAAGTAGATTTGATTTGAAATAATGAATTTTCATGAAGTAAAATTAGGATATCTTTAACCCAAAGGCGAAAGTCCAGAGGGTACCATTGTGAATCAGAAAGGACATTAAAACATTTATATTTAACCGAAATAAGGCAACTGGAAGCCTAAACGCATCCATATTCATACCAAACTGAACTTTCAGATGCGGAGTCTTTTTTACTTTCTTCGTCGTCAGTTGGTGGGTTTGAACCTCTAGGTTTCGGCGGTCTGCTGGGAGGAGGTGTCTGCGGACGCCTGGCTGGTAGAGGAGGAAGGGAAAGATCGGTATCGCCGGTTTTTTTCCAGGACGTGAGCCGAGGTTCTTCGCCAGCTCGGGATCCTCGGCCGCCGATGACGTCATTTCCGGCCGATAGGTATACTCGGCTAATAGATCTAAGAAGGAAAACAGAAATAATACACTTTCTTAAAAACTCCTAAGCAACATGACTCCAAGGAAAAGGCAATAAAAGGTTCACCTTGTAGAATAATATTTAAAATTGTTATGTTTTCTGAGGTGCAAATGGTGGATATACAGAAATTGTAATGCAACAAATGGCAAACCATATTTCTTCCTCAACTTTCGATAATCTATAGATCTCCTTTTATTTAAATACAATACAAGGGACTGTCCAGAAAAAAATGAAAGGGGGTATAGGCTTGAAACCTTAGCATTTTAGGAGTAGATAAATTTATATAAATGTAAAACATTTTGTAAAAAAATCGTAGGTTTAAACAGATCATATACAGCAAACCAATCTAAAAACAACGATATCCCAGAGGAGCCTAAGAAACTTAGGGTTGCTTCTTTTATTATTTGAATTTGATAATTTTTCATTTAAAATAAATATAATTTGATAAAATAATAAATATGTCAGCATCATGAGACCAAAGCTCCCACCAATGGCAGTGCAATATCATTTTCACGTGTCTCTGTCTGAATCATGTGACCAGTATACTGCACTGCCATTGGTGTGAGTTCTGGTCACGTGATACGGACGTATAAATAATATTATCAATTATATCTTTATGGTATCGATCAACTTCTAAACTGCATAGGTTTCAGTCAATATACCCCTTTTCATTTTTCCTTTACAGTCAATTTGAGCATAAAGGAATCATATAGTTATACCAGCATTTAAATTGTTTACCTTGGTTGGGTTTCACTGGACTTTCTTACTGAAGTCGGGGTTGAAGAGAGATCCCTAGAAGAGGTCAAGAGATCCCTTGACGGGGTCAATGCGTCCCTTGTACTCAGTCCCAGAACTGAGCTTGCATCGTCTTTGGTATTGAACTCAGGATAATCGTACTCTCTGAACCCAGGATAATTTTAATCAATTTCTCGGTCACAAGTGTAACAAACTTGAAAAAAAATCATTGATATATGTTGATTATATTATTCATTCCGAAAATGAAACCTATATCTAGTCAAATTTTAGGTTAAGTGAATTTGACATTAAAAAGAGCAGACAATATCGAATTTATTTATAAAAAGTTTTTATTTTGAATTGAAATTATTCATCCCTATTGTCTCTAAACAAGTCTCGATCTAATCCTAAACAAATTAGTAATTTTTGTAGCTAAATCAAATTTACAGGAAGATTTGGAACTAATTTCCTGAAAGGAACTAAAAGCATCATTTTTAGTGACCCTCCTTGCAAAGAGAGCAATGCTGATACATTGTACAACCTTTGTGTGTTTATCGAGTACAGTACTGTACAGTGCACACCCCGCTAGTATTCAGATGCACATTACTTTGGGCGCTGTGTTCGATGAACATACAAAGGTTTTCAGGACCTATCCTTGTAAATCGAGAATTGCCACCTTTGTATGGAGGGTCACTTGAAATTACGGTTCCAGTCCCTTTGAGCTGGATAAATTTTAACAGTTTTCTTGGTTAAAAGGTTCAGAGTGTAAGGAATTTTTTCACAAAATTTCCCCCTTTATTTTCAAGAACTTTTTTTTCTTTTTTCTTTTGACCGAGAAGAATGTCTTTTCAGTTTCTAAACTACAAGGTTACCCACAAAGGATGCATCTTGAAAGACGACCTAAAATCTTTAAATCTGACGATTCTAAGTATTATACCTAGAAAATAGTCTTCATGACTTGGCAAAGAAACAAGTTTAGTTGCAAGAAATCATGGATTCAAGTAAAAGGGCCATGTGAACTATGTACAGTCGTTTCTGAAATCTTATGATTTGTGGGTGACCCTGTATATTCTAATAAGAATAATAATGACAATCATTAAAAAATGATAATGATGATAAAGTTAGTGATCATAATGAATGATAATTAAAGTAAAAATGATGATAATACTAATATTGTAAATAATGATATTGATATAACCATGTTAAGTATAGTCATACTAATAATGTATAATTGTATTACAGACATAATGGGGGGGGGGGGGACTTTTCCTTGAAATTCAATGTACTGATATTTTATGATAAATCCCCAGATTTAAAGGTTCAGGGAATACTTAAGAATGATCGAAATAACAAAATGTTTAAATATCAAAGGCACACTAGCATGTTGTAAAGATATCGAAATAACAAAATGTTTAAATATCAAAGGCACACTAGCGTGTTGTAAAGATATCGAAATAACAAAATGTTTAAATATCAAAGGCACACTAGCGTGTTGTAAAGATATCGAAATAACAAAATTGGAGTGTGTGGTAAAAACTGATTTCCTTTATGCAATACAAGGCCAATAAAAATTTTGTATTGCCTTTGGGAAGTAAAATTTTAATTGCACAGACTTCAATCCTAGAATATTTATTTTCTTATAAAATACCCTCAATATTTTAAAATTATTTTAAGGAAAGGAAAATTTTTATGGTGGTAAGTTTTTTATTAATAAGGGGATAAAAAAGTATCAATTTTAAAATATCTTCCCCGGGAAGGGGTGGGGGGCTTGATTCTAAAACATATTACCCCCCATCCCCATGCATGTTTTTTTTATCATTGACATTTTAGGATACTATAAAAAAGCAGAAACTGAGTGCACATCTAAATGAAAAATAAGAGAAAAAGGGTATTTTCAAACATTTTGCTACACCCACGTTTATTTGAATCATGGTTATATATTCGAAAAATCTAAATTAGAATTCAAATAAATTATTCATTTCACATCTACTGCTTTAATTTACTGTATCCTGCATTCAGAATGCAATAATCAAGAGTTTAATTCTTCAAGTTTGATGAGGTTTAAGTATTACGTAAGAAGCACTGGTTAGGCCTCAAGATAATTTTATTTTTATCTTTAATAAAACTTTTTAAGATTTATTCACAATATTTTTTAGAAATTTTAGGAATATATAGATTATAAGTATGATTTTGAATAGTTTGGAGTTCAGGTTGATTCTAAATTAAGATTTTTCTGAGATGAGTCGAGTGGTCAGATTTTTAAAGTAATATGAATTAATATATCCAATAGCGGAAAAATATGAAACTATTGATCATTATACATGCATCACATGTAGGTATTTGATCTTGATCGTATCCAAGACAGGAGAAATATGAAACTATTGATTATAATACCTGTATCCCTTGTAGGTATATGATCTTGATCGTATCCAAGACCGGAGAAATATGAAACTATTGATTGATTATCTTCCTCTTCCTTCTCCTCCTCCTCATCCAACCCTATACCCATCATACTGGCAGGCAAACTTCGCCTGTAAGAGAAATAACAAGGATAAAATATTTTCCTATAATTAACCAGGGGTAAATATTTTCCTATATTATACAGGGGTAAATACTTCCCTATATTATACAGGGGTAAATATTTTCCTGTATTATACAGGGGTAAATATTTCCTATATTATACAGGGGTAAATATTTCCCTATATTATACAGAGGTAAATATTTTCCTGTATTATACAGGGGTAAATATTTTCCTATATTATACAGGGAAATATTTCCCTATATATATATATTATACAGGGGTAAATATTTTCCTATATTATACAGCTTGGTTTTGAGATTCTAAGTTCAGTGGGTCTAATTTTTTAGGGAAAAATGGCTAAAATCATAATTTGAGTTTGGGTATTAGGCGTGAGTAACTATGAGTACCCTGGGCAGTGCACCGCTGGGTTCTCAAGCTAGTCTTTATTAACATTCTTTATTTAAAAATCATGTCTGTTGAAACCTTGTTGAAAGTTCTCCCGAGAAAATTTTGAAAAAACTGATTGGAGCATTTTATTAAGGATAAAATATTAAAATAAATATTTGAGTTTCAAGAGGAAATTAATAACTCCAGTTAAAGAATCAATTTTTAAAAATTGTTATAATTTTAAAATGTTCGATAAAATTGTGGGAGTGGTCAGTGTTTCCCACAAATTACCATTAAAAAGGATTATTAACCTTCTTCATTAAAAGAATTTTCACTTAATTTCATTTTAAGAGACCCGGTTGTGGAGCTCAACAGAATGGCTCGTGATTTTTACAGCAATAATTTTGGGTATATTGTGTATTTTTAAATATCTGACCTTTTTTGAGTTTAAAACATTTAACCTAATAAATTATACTTTGCTTCGCGCTTCTTATCAATCGTTTTAGTTTTCAACTTTTGCTATGAAAGTGACCGCTAATATTCATTATCAAGATTCCGCGTATTTTTTTGTATAAATTGGCGCATATCACAAAATAATATTTTTCCTTCATTTTTTAGAATATTTCGCAAAAAAATTAATTATTAACTTTGATCATCCATAAACCTTCCCTGGGATCATGTGAGGTCCCACACAAAATTTCGGACCGATCGGTTCAGCCGTTTTGACGTTCATTGGGTACAAACAGACACACAGACAAGCAAAGTATGTATATAGAAGATATCTGTCACCACAAATAAAAGAAGCTAATAACCATTTCACAACAACAAGAAAGCCCATTATTCTACAGTTTGATGGGCATCACTGTAAACATTCTATTTACCTGAAGAGAAGTTTGTCCCCTGAATGTAGATCCCCCCCTGACGTCAGCATAGCTTCAGAAGGTGACCTAACATGAATAATAATTAACGGGTTTAGTTATACAAATTTTAAAACGAACTTTGAAGTAATATAACTCAGCGCAGGTGGTATTTCTAGATAAAAAATGCATCAAAAATAAAATATTTGGCATTAAACATACGAGTGTTAAAAGGTTAGGAGTCCAGACCGCCTACTAGTGCCCAATTAATTCCAAAATAACAAGAGATGAAAATATGTTTAATGTTTATATAAACAGATGTTAGAAGATTAAGATTTCTTTGGCGAGCTTTCAAAACTAAAAGGAAACTGACTCGAGGACAACTTAAGAAGTCAAATAATGAATCAACCGAAAATGTTGGAAGTAATAAATGATGTGAAATATTATATTACGAAATCATGACAATCACAACATAAAAATAACATGCCTGACAATGTTAGTTTTAGAAAACCATGACGCAGAAATATTAAAGATTACATAAGTTATTATTTATATTAGTTTCGGGGGAAGAGTGGTTACTGGTTTTCAATAACACAATTATACAATTGTTACTTCCTGCAGCGATAGAATCCAATAAATTATATTTTCTAACTAAAAGTGGAACTGAATAACAAATATAATGAATGTCTTCATATCAAATTATTAATGACGCGGACTTAATTCACAAGAACACAAACCGATATATTCATTGTGAAAGGAGCTTAAGACGTAATTTCAAGTGGCCCCCTCCATTTATAGCCTTTTGTCTGAAAAAAATGATATAGTTATCCCCATGTTTTATCTTAAACTTAGTTCTTCTTACAAATGCGGTTCTATTCATAACAGACAGATAGAAGGAAATTGTTAAAATTTAGCACTGGCTGAAGTGCCTGGAGTTGCTCGTGAAGAACAAAAAATTTGAAAAAAAAATTGATTTTGGAAAAATACTCGAATTAAAATTTTTTTCTAGCCTTTGCTACCCCCTGGGGTATTCAAGGGATCTCTAAAAAATATCAGCCAATTTGATCCAGCCGTTTGGCTAACGTATATTCAAATATACAAATATATATAGAATAAAGATATATCTGACGTATGCATATAAATAAACCGATTAGACTCACATATTTAATCAATTATTTCTTACGTTATTCAGTCATGTTTATACCGATCATACTCATACTAATTTAAATAAACATTTAAATTACAATTTGGTAAATTTCTCGGTAATGTTTTAGATATCAAATTGTATTAAATTTGATATTTATAGTCTACAAACTAAAGTTAGTATATTATCCATTCTGTTTGAGATTAGGCACTATTGAGAACTTACTTTTGATGTCGCACTATTGCAATTGAGAACTTTCTTTTGAGGACAAACTATTCAGAACAAACTTTTGAGGACGCACTATTGAAGACTTGCTTTTGAAGACGCACTATTGTGAACTTACTTTTGAGGACGCAGTATTGTGAATTTACTTTGAAGAACGCACTGTTGTGAACTTACTTTTGAGGAAGCACTTTTGTGAACTTACTTCTGAGGACGAATTATTGAGAGCTTACTTTTGAGGACGCACTATTAAGATTATAGACTGGACTATTAAGGAAGGAATATTGAGTTCACGAACTATTTAGGATGCGTAAAGGACGCACGTTGTTGTTGTGGACCAACATCGAGGACGCAAACATATTCCTATATCGTAGGCTTAAATTAAAATACTACCAACCTGCCCTCACTATCAATACTCTCATTTCCTCCACTCCCTAGAGAACTAGTATCTTCTTCTATCCTTCTATTCCGCCCAGGAGAATTCAAGAACATATTACTCCCAGCTTTCTTCATTCGTTTCACCAGGGTCAACCCAATACCTGTAGAATAGGGATAATATTATAGTTATCAACCCTATACCTGTAGAATAGGGATAATAGTATAGTTATCAACCCTATACCTGAATAATAGGGATAATAGTATAGTAACCAACCCTATACCTGTCGAATAGGGATAATAGTATAGTTATCAACCCTATACCTGGATAATAGGGATAATAGTATAGTTATCAACCCTATACCTGGATAACAGGGATAATAGAATAGTAATCAACCCTAATACCTGGATAACAGGGATAATGGTATAGTAATCAACCCTATACCTGGATAACAGGGATAATAGTATAGTTATTACACCTTTATCTGGATAACAGGGATAACAGTATAGTAGTCAACCTTGTATTGGTCTTAGGTATTTTCCCAAAGGCATTTTCTCAAGGGTGAATTCCCAAGTGCCAAGGACCGAGCGCTTGTGCTAGGATATGCCACTAGGGTGCCGTGTGCTGCGACTAGAACAGTCTAGGTGCCGAGCGCAGCGACTAAGACAGAATAAGTTGGTAATTGGGAAAAATCCTTTGGGAAAGTACCTAACATCTCTAGATACATAACAATCAATCCTAGCGGATTTTTTATACAGTGAAGAATTTGTGAGAATTAATTTCATGTTAAGATAGAAAACCAGATATCTTCCAAATTGTTAAACGTAAAAAGGTTTTAAGCGTACCGGAACATTTAGATATGTAAATGGAGGATTAATTATAATCACCTTTATAAGAATAAAAGGCAGGTAAAGAAACAGGGTAAAAAAAACAGAAGGTATGAACATTGGAAAATATTGCAGGATAATATAAAAAACTCTCCTGGAAAGGTTAAAAAATGTAAAAAACGCTGAAAAGGTTAAGAAAAAAGAAGGAATTTATTAATATTAAAATGTTATACCTTTTTTCTTTGGCGTTGTATTATCCATTTTCTTATACTGTTCCATAATTTTCTCTTCCAGTTTCTCCTTCTGTCTCCTAAATGTTAAAAAATTATCATTATTCTTTGTTAGTGTACTTATGTTTATCGTATTTTCCTGTGCTAAAGAACGACCTACAACATAAACTAAACTTAATGGAATATCTCGATTTGACGGTTAAATCTGATTTTTCTGCTTTAAATATTAATGCAATTAAACATTATACTTTTTTTTTGTGAAAATTAGAAAATGCTTAAAAAATAATAATAATCATTTGTTATTTTCAACATTAATATTATTAGATCTAAAAGAATTAATAGTTTAAACTACCAAAGTCACTAATGTTATGTTAACATACAACTTGAGTGTTCCTTTGACACATCATAAAGCAAGTTAGGTAATAAACTATATTAGCAAATTTCATAACTCATAACTGGAGGATTTCGTCACAAAAAGTTGAGGTGGAGATGAAAACTCGCCATTGGTTAAAAATAGATAAAAGAAGTTGTAAATAGGATGAAGGGGAAGGGTATTGTATTCAGTTAAAAATAGAACGGAACCATTCACGTTCGTGATTTTGGTGGAAAACTTTTAACATAAATATTTTCTTCAATTTTACTGAAGAAAAATACTAAAACTCCAAATTCTACATAATATTGTGTAGCTCTCTACTGTTCACATTTTTTGCATTACCAAATTATATGCATATTAGTATATTCCTTATTTGGACTTGATATTATTAACTTTTTAAAGATTAAGCGCTAACTAGGGCATGATAACCAGTCTTGCATCTTTGGTCTTGATAAGATAAGATAAATAAAAATTGCGTTCTATTAGTTTTTAAAACTAAAAAAACTATGAATCTATATTTACGGAAATATTTACGTGATATTTTGTATACTAAATACCAAACGTGGGCGGCACATCATTTCATTGGTCTCAACCAATTACTGATAAAGACTGGTAATAAATAAATTTCTAAAAAAACATTACTCCAACCCGTTTTTGGAAATAATTTTGTTTTCCTAGAAGTTAATTATGTTTGCCGGGGGTTTATTAACTAAATTAGGGTTTATTAACAAGATTAGGGAAGTAAATGATGTTAAAATAGTAACCTGAGATTATTCATTTTATCACTGTATTCTCTCTCCTCCTCGTGAAAATGCTCCTGTGTCAACACAATCAAATGTCGTCTTTAATAGCATAAAGGTTATGCGGGAACATGAGTATATAAATCTGCAAACTGAGCCCGAAACTTAACATAGAGTTTCTTTACATTCTATTACTGTTTTCTGATTTCTTAAATTGACCCTGAAAAGAAAACTCGGCAGTTTTCGTCAAACGTTAATTTCTTAAATTTCTGGCTCTGATAAGTTGTGTACACTATATAGTATACAGTGCACAGTGCAGTGTACAGTTAAGTGTACAGTGAAGTGTACAGTGCAGTGTGCAATGTACATTGTACAGTGCACAGTGTAGAGTGCAGTTTGCAGGTACAGTGTGCAGTGTGCAGTGTGCAGTGAGCAGGGTACAGTGTACAGTGTACAATGTAGAGTGCAGTGTAGAGTGTAGAGTGCAGTGTGAAGTGTATAGTGCACAGTTACAAGTGTACAGTGCACAGTGCAAATTGCACAGTGCATATTGCACAGTGTACAGTACAGTGTACAGTGTACAGTGCACAAAACATTTTCTATTTCCGAAGTATTTTAACTTGCTGGATCCGGATCCGCTATATTTTTACATAAATATGTAACATATCATATTTTTTATTAATTATAAATTTTTTCAAAAATTATATTTTTATTTTTAATCTTTTAAGTATTATATTTTTATTTTTAATCTTTTAAGCATTATCTTGAAAATCCTATGCTAGAGCTATGCATGATCCAATATGACGTGGACAAAAAATGCCCAAAGGTGTGGAGGCCTTAAAGCCGATTCTAACATATTTAAGTAGAAATGATTTTGTTCCTTGTCGTCAAGTGTTTGAGTAAGAAGATCATGATACTGATACAGTAGTAGAGAAACCTAAACAAAATAGTTAATAAACAGATTAGTCCTGTCATCCAAACAGCCAACTAAATTATTAAATGTTCTCTAAGGAAATGTATCCCTTGTATTACCCCCCGAAGAGTTAAGAGAGGGGATTATGATGATACATGTCCCTAAGTCAACTTTTAAAGGCCAGCTCATTAAAAAAATAGACCTCTAACGTCAATGGTAACGGTGCTAAAGCTTTACAAAAATAAAAAAGTAAGTCGAAAAAATGTTTAAAAATAATTTTTTTACTGTGAAAAATATTAACATGTGACACATATGTTATAACATCCATTTTTCAAGGACTTTTCAAATAAATAATATTAAGATCCGCAGCTTAATTTATAAAAAATTATTGATTACTTTTGATTTTTTAAAACACCGACCAGCAGTTTGACCGTCCTCCCCCCTTCAAGGAATTGATTAATTTTTCTAAAAACCTCAATCCCAGTTTTTAGCTTCTTAGTATCAAAAATAATATTTTTTAATCTTGAAAAGTCCAGGTCAAAAAAAATGTTATGACAAAAAAACGTATTTTAGACATTTTTAAAATTAAATTTGATAAATTTACAAGGAACAAAATGTTATATCTTAGAAAAATAAGAAAATTTATTTGACCTTAATAGTTTAAATACCTGTGACATTAGAGATTTTCTATCTTCTTCTAGAGACAGATTTAGTTGATGCAAAACCTATAATAAATCATTATTTACAGATTTACAGAATACAAGTTAGGAACTTGTAATTTTTTCTTACATAGTAATGAAGAGCTGATCAGGAGTCAGCACTTCAAGGGACTGTGGAAGTAAATTCAATTTACCAGATCCATTTAAAGAGTTGCATTCCATTTTAAACCTTTTTTCTCTGGACAAATACACTTCTCAAATGAAAACACAATTGACAATGGTCAATTATCAAAAAAAAAAAACGACCAGAGGCCGAATTTAAAGAATTTGAGCCGCGACTTGAATTTGAGACACGGCTCAAATATAGTTGGTTCCACTTAAAATTCTATTCAATGTTTCAAGATTTAAGCCGGCGCTCAATTGAAACCGGTTTTTGGCGGATTTGAGACGCGGCTGAAATTCATTAAGTTCGGTCTCTGTATCAGCATTGCTCTGACAGAATTTTTAGATTGTCTTTGACAGTCCTTTCTCCTAGTATTCGACAAAAATATGTTTTTTAATCTCATATCTTAACTTGACTGTTTTCAACATCCAGTATTGTTTATTAAATTTACTGTTCTCTACAATCAAGTATTGTTTTTTTACCTCACATCTGTTAAGTTTACTGTTCTCTTCATCAAATATTGTTCTTTACCTCACATCTGTTGTTAACTTCACTGTTCTCTTCATCAAAATTGTTCTTTACCTCACATCTGTTGTTAACTTCACTGTTCTCTACATCAAAATTGTTCTTTACCTCACATCTGGCTATAACTTCACTGTTCTCTACATCATGTAATGTTGTTTACCTCACATCTAGCTATAACTTCACTGTTCTCTACATCAAGTATTGTTCTTTACCTCACATCTGCTGTTAACTTTACTGTTCTCTATATCAAGTATTGTTCTTTACCTCACATCTGGCTATAACTTCACTGTTCTCTACATCAAGTATTGTTCTTTACCTCACATCTGCTGTTAACTTTACTGTTCTCTATATCATGTATTGTTCTTTACCTCACATCTATTGTTAACTTCACTGTTCTCTACATCAAGTATTGTTTTTACCTCACATCTGTTGTTAAATTTACTGTTCTCTACATCAAGTATTGTTCTTTACCTGGCATCTGTTAACTTTACTGTTCTCTACATCAAGTATTGTTCTTTACCTCACATCTGTTGTTAACTTTACTGTTCTCTACATCAAGTATTGTCATCTGTTCCCTGCCATCACCCAGTTGACCGGCCAGCTTTGTATTCTTCAACTTTAGCTGATTGTTCTCAGTCTAAGCAAAAAAGTAGAACTTCATTATTTTTCAGAGTCAAATGTTATCAAAATGCTTTACTGTTCTCAAATCCAGGGCTTTTATCAACCAGCATTTGTGAGTAAAATTAAGGATAGGGAACAATATTATTCTATCATGATTCATGATATTTCAGAGCAGCACTGGAACCAGTCCCTTCCCTTCCCTTCCCTTCCCTTCCCTTCCCTTCCCTTCCCTTCCCATTCCTTCCCATTCCTTCCCATTCCTTCCCATTCCTTCCCATTCCTTCCCATTCCTTCCCTTTCCTTCCCTTTTAAGGTTCTTAAAATCAACATTTTCCACAAGAGTTACCGATGGGAATAATTTTTATTGATTATTGATAAATATCAAAATTAATTATTATGAGCAATTACCTTTAATGTTTTGTAATCTGTTTGAAGATTACAATACTCTGTTTTCATTCGTTCATTTGCAGTAAACAGGGACCTTAATTACAGATCTATGTAATATATATCAGATTGTGAACAGGGACCTTAATCACAGATATAAGTAATATAAATCAGATTGTGAACAGGGACCTTAGCGTTAGATATATGTAAAATATATCAGATTGTGAACAGGGACCTTAGTGTTAGATATATTTAATATATAACAGATTGTGAATAGAGACCTTAATGTTAGATATATTTAATATATAACAGATTGTGAATAGAGACCTTAATTACAGATATATGTAATATAAATCAGATTGTGAATAGGGACCTTAATGTTAGATACATGTAATATATATCAGTAGGGACCTTAGTGTTAGATATATCTAATATATATCAGATTGTGAATAGAGACCTTAATGTTAGATACATGTAATATATATCAGATTGTGAATAGGGACCTTAGTGTTAGATACATGTAATATATATCAGATTGTGAATAGGGACCTTAGTGTTAGATATATCTAATATATATCAGATTGTGAATAGAGACCTTAATGTTTGATATATCTAATATATATCAGATTGTGAACAGGGACCTTAATGTTAGATACATGTAATATATATCAGATTGTGAATAGAGACCTTAATTACAGATATATGTAATATAAATCAGATTATGAACAGGGACCTTAATGTGAGATATATGTAAAATATATCAGATTATGAACAGGGACCTTAATGTGAGATATATGTAAAATATATCAGATTATGAACAGGGACCTTAATGTAAGATATATGTAAAATATATCAGATTGTGAACAGAGGCCTGAGAGGACTGTATAGCGTATAATACGTCAGGTCAAGTGACCTTGTGATGTCGATTCACAACGATATCCTCTAAAACTCTATCTAAATAATAACCTATTTTTCTATCAGAAGTGTCAAATTCTCACTACTTCCTTCATTGCCTCTGCGTGATAAATCCGCGAGTCACATATTAAAATCATCAACAAGGGAGGGTTAATTAAACGCAAAATATCCCTTTAGTGTAAGAATTTGATATCTACTACAGGAATCAGTATAAAAGAGTTAAGAGACCTAATACAACAATTTTTACAACAAAATGAATCCGAACAGATGAATGACTGAAAGTAAATTGCTAATAAATGTATAAAAATATATAACCTGTTTCATGCTAAATGATAGTTTGTTATCGCTTTTAAGAAACAACTGAACATGTTTTCTAATATCGCTAATTTCGTTAAATTTATCACAAACGTTTTTTTTTCACCTATAATCAGCCATTTATTCGCCCAAAATCGTTACTATTCCACCGTAATCGTTTTCTTTAAATCGATTAACTTCTTACCTAAAGTCGTCCTTGAGCCTGCTGTGTTCTGAGCGTAGGTTACTGAGTGTCTTCTTGTCCATGTTCAAGGTTTCTCTCTCCAGGTCCAGTGCTTCCTTAGCTCGGAGAATATCATCTTGTCCCTGGGTGAACCCAGCTATTCTCTCCCTGGATACAAATATCAGGATGTATATTTGAATAATGTTTCCCAACGGATATTTCCCAAGATGCAACTTCCCAAGGGTATTTTCCCAAGTGGCAACTTCCCAACTGTGCAATTTCCAAAGCGACAATTTCAAAAGTCTGTCCTAGCCGCAGCGCTCGGCTCGCCAGCATGTACTGGTCTTAGTAATCGGCCCTTTAGCCCATCTTAGCTGCAGCGCTAGACCATTGCAGCCAGTGGTACTTCGGAGGGCCAAACATAAGTGCATAACCCTTGATAAATTGCACGTTTGGGAAGTTGCCACTTGGGAAAGCCGCCCTTGGGAAAATCGAATATCCCTCCCCCTCATGTAGGAGAATACTTAAATTTCCAATCTCTTCCATGCAAATGCAATTTTTTTAAATTTCATAAATTTATCAATCTCAAAAAATGACAAGATTTGAATGGTTTTTATAAAATAAAATTATTAAACATGTCAGTCCCAAACCTAAATTTCTGAATCAGGATTGAAAAATGGTCTTGTTAGAACAATCTTGTATTTTCTTTAAGGAATGATGATGGTTGACAGATGACTGTTTTATCTACAGTGAGAACCAGAAAAATAAAGACAACATTTAATTAATACTGTAGTGCATTAATCGATGTTACAAAGCGAATAGCTGTACTAGTAAGTTATCAAATTACTTATTAATCGAAATGGGTCTGTTTACACTGCACAATTGCTGTGTCTCATGTTCATTGAGGTATTTAAAGTCATAAATTGAGTCTGAAAGTCGACTTCCTATTCCAGAGTTTTCTGGTTCTCACTGTATTTATAAATCATAACTAGCTTTCTAGGAACTGGTCTTACCTCAGTTTAGATATTTCAGATCTGAGATTTCGTTCATTAGTTTTCAACTCTTCTCTCTCATCCCGTAACCTGAAGAGAAAATAAAATGAAAAACATTTGGACTGAAACTTTTAAAATAAACTTGAGAAGAACTTCTCAGAGATTTCTTGATCAGAGTTTAATCCCAAACTTTTGAAATGCACTAATCCGTTTCTTATGGATATCTGCTGAAAAGGTTGCCCAATTTAAAGTCATAAAAATCTGCCTTCGGTCAATAAGAAACGTAAAACATTGATCATCATTTAATTAATTGTGAGTCCCACTGTTTAAGATAATAGAAGAAAGTTTCCACTCATAATAAAAAAATGAAGGATTTAACATGAAATTTAATTCCCTTTGGACTCTTATATAAAGGAATTTTACAAGAATAACAACAACAGCAAAATATTATGATAAGATAGAACACCAAAACAAGGAAAGAAATGAGAAAACAATCCGATGAATTTAAATTTTTAATCTTAGGTATAATTGAATAAATATGGTGGCTGAACAGTTAACCTGAGGTAAACACTATTCTCCTGGGTTACCCACAAAAGATGAGACTGCAAAGACGACAAAAACTCTTAAAATATAAGGATTCCAAGTTCAAATTAAGTCTAATAATGCCTAAAATATAGTATTCTAATGGCTTATTTGTCAAAGAAAGAAACAAGTTTACAGTTTACAGGGAATCATGAATATAAAGATACAGATTTCAGATAGTATAAATTCTGTATAGTCGTCTCTGAAGTCTCTTCCTTTGTGGGTAACCCTGTATGTTAGTGTTGGTAAATTTAATTCTAAGTCGAGCTTTAATCATCATTGAGATAATTGAACCTATCAAAATAATAAAAAATGTGGGGCCAACAGCATCCAAGCTTCAGAATGGAGTTTTAAGTTCTTAATATAATAATAATAATAACATATAAATCAGATTGTGAACAGGGACCTTAATGTCAGATATATGTAAAATATATCAGATTGTGAACAGGGACCTTAATTATAGATATATGTAATATATATCAGATTGTGAACAGGGACCTTAATACAAGACCGGAACCTTGTAATTTTCAGTGGTTCCCAGTATTCTATTCTTGGTTTTACTCATTAATTTTAACTAAGTAAAACTTTAGAAAAAATATCTAAATTTAAGTTTTCTTGAGAATTATATCACGGAAACCTATATAAGAAGGGAAACGTTTAGAAAATCTAAAACGTGATGATGATAATTTAAACAAAATTCAGTAAATCTCATCATGCAACCTTCGACAACGTTTTAAGTTTTCTGTATTTTCAAACCAAGACAAAGCAAAACTTCGTAATTTAAAATATATACATGGTCTACAACATGAGATTGCACAAATATCGGGAGTAGCAAATCAGAGTTTGTGTTAAGATTCTTTGATTTCAAAATCTTTATTTGTCGACCTTTTCTTTAAAAATTAAAGTCAAATTAATTTTTTTATTAGAAATTTTTATGTTTTATATTTTTAATTTTTGTTTATTTTTCTCACGTACTTTACTTTTAATGCTTTGTTTAAAAATATCAGAAATTACAATGAATAGTTTTATTAAAACATTTTTCCATATAATCTTTTCAAATTAATGTTAACAAATTTCTAATAAAACATTCTCCGAAACGTACGTGCTTTGTAAAAAAAATCTGTTCAATAGAAAACTAATAACAAACTTTTAACAAAAATTATAAATCTCCAAACTACGCCATTGGAGATAAAACTAGAAGTATAATTCAGAGGGCCCTTATTTCAGCTTTTTAGGCCTGGCCCCAAAGTTCAATCTCAGCTCCCTTAATGGGACTGTAAGCGTAATCCTACAGATATTTTGGAACTTGACAAGGGTCCGTGAATCCAAATATATTTTGTATATTTTGATTGATATTTTGCAACTTGACTAGGGTCCGTGAATCCAAATATATTTTGTATATTTTGGTTGATATTTTGCAACTTGACAAGGGTCCGTGAATCCAAATATATTTTGTATATTTTGGTTGATATTTTGCAACTTGACAAAGGTCAGTGAATCCAAATATATTTTGTCTATTTTGGTTGATTTTTTTGCAACTTGACAAGGGTCCGTGAATCTAAATATATTTTGTATATTTTGATTGATATTTTGCAACTGACTAGGGTCCTTGAATCCAAATATATTTTGTATATTTTGGTTGATATTTTGCAACTTGACTAGGGTCCGTGAATCCAAATATATTTTGTATATTTTGGTTGATATTTTGCAACTTGACTAGGGTCCGTGAATCCAAATATATTTTTTTTTTTTTTTGGTTGATCCAAGTATATTTTGTGGATCCGGAAAGATACATATATATTTGGCTGGCCTACCTGTTTTGTTGCCTTGGTTAGATCCATCTCTAGCCTTGAATACTCAGCTTGAAGATTATTTATCTGATCTAGTAAACTAGAAGATTGGGACTGCAAGGTTCGGTTCTCAACCTAGAAATATCTTCGTTAGTTCGGTTAAACACTACATTTGTTCAACTGAACTAAGATTTCTAATCCTTGAAATACATAGTCTGATAGTATATCATCATAATATTTCAAATCCTTAAATAAACATTGTTTGTTAGATAAAGCATTTTTATACTAATATAATTAACTGAACAAAAAATTCACAACTGTGAAATATTTTGGTAATTCGGAAAAAATAGTGAACTTTTCATTCATTAAATCTTTTTTAATTTAAAACAAGTATTTTAACAGTTTATATTTCTAACATTATATAGATAAACATTTTAAAATCGTAACTCTCTTGAAACCCAATGAGTGAAAACAAATGAATGCTTTTTTAGTTCCCTAAATCATAAGTTAATAGATCATAGGTCAAAACTAATTAATGCAGAACTAGATAGTCGTTGAACTGTTTCTTTAATGTGGCTAAGAGTGAGAAGAGAGTAATTTCCAACTATCCATATTTTGGACAAAACTTTTATAAATATTTCTTAAAGTTAACATAAGAAATCATATTTTGCTTTATTTTATGACTTAATAAAAAGATATTTCTTTTTCAAAAGAGTAGAAAAAGAGTTAGTTCAGTTTGATGTTGCATCTAAAGTTTTACAACAATAAAAAAACAAACACCCTCCTCCTATAATAATATACCTGAAGGCCAGCCTTTTCCTTGCTTAGGTTGACCAGATCTTCCTGTAGCCCTGACACCTAGACAACATAATGTTAAACCAATATCAATGATCAGACCTTTTGAATAAGAATGCGCTAATCTTAAAAGGTCCAGTAAAACAATAAATTAAAACAAAAACATTGGAGTATCATTTAATCGAAGCCATGCTTAATACACCAGCTTAAATTGCTTAATTCATTTCTAACCCTGGATTTACTAATTACTATAAGCTACCTGTTTAGACCAAGCGACTTCCTTGTCCTCGCTGCCAACAGCAGCTACGCGCAGGCGAGCTAGCTCACTGCTCAGCTGGTCACGTTCAGCTTGGAGAACGCTGACTCTGTTTTCTCCACGGAGCATCTGAACCCGTTCCTTGACAACTACTTCAGTAATTTCATGTTCCTCCGCCTAAACAATTTTTTTTCTTAATTTTCAATTTCCATGAGTCTTGGAAACAAGGAATTGAAAGCCCTTTTTTTGGACATCAAGACTTCAAACTTTTTGTCTTTACAGTTACAAATCTGTCACTTTTGGGACATAATAATAAAACCGTGAATGAAAGAATTGATTTTTTATTTTACATTTTTAAGGTTATAATTTTCACCCCAAAATCCTACTTTTTGCTTCAATTATTCAACTTTTTGATTTGTAAATATCTCCTAAACCGGAGCAGTGCTCAAGTAAACTGTAAACCCATGGAAAGCTAACATTTTCAAGATATCAAAACATATATGGTTTGGTATTAGCACTGCCCTTGTTTTTGAGTTTTTCAAGAATTTGGGAAAATTTTGAAGGGTTAAAATGACTAAAAATTCACATTTTCGTATAATTTGTTAGATTTTTTGGTCCTTTACTATAACCAATTTTATATATTTCTGTAAAAGTACTTAAATAATGTAATTTATATATCTCTGTATTACATATGAAACATTTTTTAAACATTCAAGTGAAAAATAAACATAAGTAGGCTTCCTAAAAAAATTTAAAAAATAAAAAACATTTTCCTAGAACTTTTGAATAATCAAAAAACTTGTGTTTCAACTTTGCTTCTAGAAGAGCTTTTAACAAGAAAAATTTCGGTTCTTAATCGGCCTATATAAATTCACCTAACTACAACAAGAGTTTTAAGTAAATCTATATATTGATAGATGTCACTGTTAAAAATGAAACTTTACTTAAAACAAGACGAGTCTGATAATACAAATATTTCAAATACAAATTATTCAGTGCCTGCCGAAGTTTTCAATATAAGTAATATCATTATTATGAAAGGACATACTCGATGAAAAAGGGGTTGACAATGCAGTATGTACGTTGTACAATTATGCAAGGCCTGAGAAGAGTACAGAAAAGTTCCAATTTAGCGTTTTATAACGTTCTTGTTTTAGGACAATCAAGCAGTCAAATTTGCCAAATATACACTATAAATGTAATTAGGAATACTAGCGGTTTAACCGTTTAGCGTTCAAGTGTTCAAGATTTCTTTGGATAAATTATACATTCCAAAGAATGTATAATTTTAAGGTTTAAGTGTTCAAGCCTCAAGCCTCAAGCCTCAAGCATCCAAGCAATCCAAGCATCCAAGCATTTAAGTGTTCTGGAGTACGATCGTTTTAGCATTCCAATATTAACGATAAAATAAAAATAAAGCCTAACCTTAGCATCTCCTATAAAACGAAGCTGCTGATTGACCTGCTCTAGCTTAGAAACCAGCTGGTCAGCTGCCATTTTCTCCTAGATAACAAAATCATGAGACGTCCACCCTTTTGTCCGTTAAATACGAAAAACCATCAAATTAAGAGATGCTAAAAGAAATAAGTATGCATCGTTCAAGTGGAATATGCATATTTCTAACAAATCATCTTCATTTGCTTTTCTTGGATCTTGGATAAAATTTAAGGAAAACATGTTTTTGGGAAAAGATCTCCCTTCCCCATAATACAAACGTGCAACTATAATTAAAACAAAAATAAAAAATATAATAAAAATACATTTCAGGATTCAAGTTTATTTTTTTACAGAGCAAGTATTTTTTAAGATTATAATTTATTATTGATTTTAATTAAGAAAATCTTCTCATTCAGGAAATTTAGGTAGTTTAATTTTTGTTCCACATTTTCTTACCTTGACAAGTTCTTCTCTGAGGTCAAGAAGTGCCTTCTTGTCTGCTAGACACTGTGAGCTGAGGTCGGCATTGCTAGCCTCCAGTTCTTGAATCTTAGCCTCGTTTAACTCCGTCGAATCTTTCTCTTGTCGAACCTAAAGCAAAGTTAGTCGAATATTTTCTTGTCGAACCTTAAGCAAAATGTGTCGAATATTTCACTTGTCTAATCTAAATCTTTCATTTTTTGAAACTAAAATAAAAGTTGTCGAATTTTTCTCTTGTCTAACCTAATACAAAATTTGTTGAATCTTTTCTTGAGAAACTAGAGGAACATTTGTCGAATCTTTCTTGAAACTATTAAGATTAATTAAGAGCTGAAATTTTTTTTCTTTTATTCATAATTTTCTAAAATTATTTAAAAATATTAAAATTTAAAAATTATCAAATTTTTCTTGAATTCAACAAAAAAGTCGAATAATTGGCATGTTGGAGTCAATTTCCTTTTAATGAAATTTGTCCCCAACTATTACATTTTGCCTTAAAACGTGATTTATAAAAAAACATTTGAGCAAAAACATTTGATAAAAATAGTTCCGATAAATAATTACATGAAAGTTAACTACTGCACTTGACAAGATGGCTAATTGACGGAAAATTCTCAAGTTTATTTATTTTGAACAAAATGTCACCTTTTCCAACTCTCTTTCTATCTGCGCCAATTTTGCAGAGGAATTATCCAAGCTTAGATCTTTAACCTAATCAAATAATCAAATAATAAATCCTTTAAATCAAATGAAATAATGAATCAATAAAAAATCCAATCAACCAATTAATAAACCAATCAATCAATCAAATAATTAATCATCCAATCGACCAATTGATCAATAGTTAGATCTAAAATTCAACCCATCATTCAATCTATCTGCTAAGTAATCAATAAATGATTCAATCAATCAACCGATCTATTTACCAAACCCCGAACTTAATTCTATCGACTAATAAATCAATCAATCAATTTATCAGTTTATCCAACAATCAAGCGATCAATTTATTAATATATCAATAAAATCAGGCCGGTAGTTAAGGGGGGGGGGACAGGGGCACGTTATTCCCTCCCCCTTTTTAACCCAGAAGAAAGGTTGTGGGAGGGGCACACCTTCTATGACAAAATATAAAAAAAAATTTAAAATAAAAAGAATTGGAAACGAAAAATGAAAGAAGTGGTTATTTTTATTTCAATCCCGTTTTGTGAAATGATAGAATTTAAATAAGTTTTTGGTATTTTGAGAAGCTTATCCTATTCTTTCTTTTCTTAGATTAATGATTAATGATAATGATTAATGATCAATCAACCATCGCATAGCAAAAAGTAACATGGAGACAAATTGAAATTGGATACATATGAGAAGCTGTTTGTATTCATCCTCAAGCTTGCAGGGGAGTTTTTTTCTCGAGTTTTAGTTTTGAGAAAACTGAAGATTTTCGTGCTTGAGCTTTTCTTGACCTTTACAGGAATTTACATCCTTTACCTTCTCTGTATTAAAAAAAGTATTAAACATTTTTTCAGAAATACATTTACTTATATTTTAACTCAAATCTCTACATCTTTAACCTCCATTGATGCAAATAGCTTCTCAATAGCACTTAAGGGAAAGAAAACAGGCAAAATAATAAACTAAAATATGTAATAAGTTAAAAATATACTTTTTAGTCTTCATATATCAAGTTTGACCATTAATGAGTTTTTCCATGATATTTATAACTTGTGTGCCCTCCCTTATCAAATTTAATCTAGCTTCGGGTCTGATTTTTCAGGTAAAAAAATGAACATGTATTTTACCTCAACCGCCTGCTTTAGTCGTTCTATCTCGCGCATTAAACTCTTGTTTTCCCGCTCAACCTTCATTAAAACACAAAATAATGTACTCCATTGAAATATTAATTTTTGGACAAAATGTTTCAACTTGAAATTGTCTTCCGGTGTATTTAAATGATATTGTAGGTAAAATGTTTGATGATAATGGGAAGCTGTAAGCGAAATTTCAAGTGACCCCCCATTCTAAAAGGGTTATGTTTGATTAACATACCCTTAAAACAATTGTGTGTTCGCCGTGTACAAAGATGTGCGTGTTAAGTTCCAAAAACGCTTGCAGTTCAGCTAAAAATTCCCCTGTGCGCGCTGTGTGCGTACACTTACAGTCAGCTAAAAATTCCGGTGTGCGCGCTGTGTACGTACACTGTACAGTCAGCTAAAAGTACCGGTGTGCGCGCTGTGTACGTACACTGTACAGTCAGCTAAAAGTACCGGTGTGCGCGCTGTGTACGTACACTGTACAGACTCCCCCCCCCCCTAGCTCTAAAAATTATCATACGGGTGAAATTTGAAAATATTTCCCCCGGAAAATCTGTAAAATATACAAATCTAACCTTGTGAGTTTTCCCTTCTAGATCTAGGTTTTCTGTTTCAAGCTGATTCACTCTTCGAACTGTAACCTAAACGTTTATTTTTCTCAATCCAATTCAAATGTTAGATAGTCACGTGTCACTTTTCAAAAAAAAGTTTATTTACGGGTCATTTAAAGGTCAACAAATTAAAATATCAGAATCTGAATTGATTGGACTAAAAGTAAAATTACTATAGACAGGTATGGTCAGTACAATGTAAAACACAATTTGGGCCTCAACAATTTTTTTTCACACATATCAAAAATCAATGTACAAATAAATCAAATTTTAGTAAATTAAGAGAATGTGAACTTACTTTCAATGTTTCTATCGTCTTCTGCATCTTCTTATTCTCTGTTTCTATTTCAGTATTTTCCAGAGATTGTTCTTCAAATTTCCTGAACAACATTATTTCCATTTTTTTGGAATTAAAATCAATTTTCCAAATCAAATTAAAATATGGTTTTAGAGACGCCCCACCTCTCTACCGTAAATCAATGTTTAAAAAAACTTAAAATGACGATTTAAAGCAATGCCTTTAAATCGCGGTACTAGTCTCCATCCAACAATTTTAAAGATTTATAAAGTCGTCTTCACAAAATATATTCAAATAATATTGACAGTCATTCTTTAAACATTGAAAGGTTTCGTCCAAGAAACCAAGTCAAATCATTTACGTTTGTAGTTAATTAATTGAATAAATACGGAGATGTTATAAGCATCAATGCTCAATAATTTTCTGCACTAATTAAGTTATTAATAATGTACTTTATATTTATTTCTCGCATTGCTTAAGATCCATTTATTTTAATGCGGATCCGGATCCGGGATCCGCGCTGGCAAAAATGGAACAGGATCCGGATCCCCGTCATGAACATTGAACAATTGAATATTTCTTTAAGATTTACTGATTTTTTATACGTTCCAAATTATTTATATTAGTTCTTTCATTTTATTTCTGCTAAAACTTGATAAACCATTCAGAGACGAGGAATTTTTTTTTAGTAGTTTAGATTTTGGTTTTGGGAGTAAATGATTTTTGTTTGCGGTTTTCGGTTTATATTTTGCCCATTGGATCCGGATCCTAAGCACTGGTTTCTGGGGGGTGGGGGGTAAACCTGTTAAGTGTATCCAGCTGTCTCTGAAGTTTAGTATTTTCGTTGGTACTCGTCATCAATTTCAACTCCAGCTCGTCCTGTTTCGTCTGTCCCTTCTGTAGGGTTGTGATGGTGGTTCGCAGCTGTCCTATAGTCTGCTTCAACCCGTCCTTCTCCTATCAATCAAGCAATCAATCCCATTCTTCTCCTAGCAGTCTAGCAATCAATCAACCAATTCAACCCGCCCTTCTCCTTGCAATCAATCATTCAATTAATTCAACCTGACCTTTTTCTAGCAATCAAGCAATCAATCCATCAATAAATAAATCAATTCAACCCGTCCTTCTCCTAGCAATCAATCAATAAATCCAACCCGGCCTTCTTCTATCAATCAATCAATAAATCCACTCCGTACTTCTTCTATCAATCAATCAATATATCTAACCCTTCCTTCTCCTAGCAATCAATCCATCAATCAATCAATTTAACAAATTAAAAAGGCAATCAATCAATCTACAATCCAACCAATAAACCAATTTAACAAATCAATCAGTTAATCAATCAACCAATCATCAATTTACCAACAAATCAATCAAAAATCAACCAATCAAACCATCATACAAACAAACCAACTAAATCAGCTTAACCAATCTGGACTCGATCAATCATTATAAAATTTAGCCAATCTGACCTGTTCAATGTCTGCAATACTCTGGTTTTCATTCCTTATACTTTCAACTCTTCTATTGAGTTTCTGGTTCTCCACTCTAAAATAAACAAAAATACAGCTGTTGGTTCTCCACTCTAAAATAAACACAAATACAGCTTTTGGTTCTCCACTCTAAAATAAACACAAATACAGCTTTCGGTTCTCGCCTCTAAAATAAACAAAAAAAGCTTCTTTCAAGCTAACACAAATACAGCTTTTAGATCTTAGCGTTTAGGAAAATTATAAAGCTTTGAATTTTTAACTTTTAAAGACGTAAATTAAGCGTATTACAAAACGTAAATTAAACGTCAAATGTTAAATAAATCCACAAATTGGGATTCTGATTCTAGATTAAATGACGCCAGATTTGTTCTTTGATTTATTAAAGACTTTACCTTAGTTTCATGTTTTCTGTTTGTAATTCTTCTTGTCTTTCTGTCTGTTCTCTGATCTTCAGGTTCAAGGAGTTCAACTGCTCTGTCATGTTATCATACTGTTCCTAAGGTTAAAATCATCAAAGGGATTGTAAGCGTAATTTCAAATGACCATCCATACAGAGATGGTAATGCCCGATTTACAACGGTACCATCAAAGCTTTGTCCGATCAAGGATGAATTAGATATCCATGTTTTTTTGTTGAGTTAGCCATAACTTCAATAGGAAGTGAGCCAGAAATCAAAAAACAAAACAGTTAAATAGGTTATCTTTAAAACAAAGCAAAAAATTTAGATTATTAACTGAAAATAAATTTTTATTTTTAATTTTTACTTTCAGTATCTCTCAGTAACCCTCTATCCCCCTGTATCCCTATTCCCTGTATCCCTCTTCCCTGAATCCCCCTGTATTCGTATTCCCTGTATCCATATTCCATATACCCTGTATTTTCCTGCTTTAACTGTATCCCTGTATTCCCTTGTGCTACCTGTATCCCCCTGTATTACTTGTTTCCCTGTATCCCCCTGTGTTACCTGTATCCCAGTATATTTCTCCAACTCCTGGGACAAGTGTTGAGTTTCTCTCTCCAGTTTGTTCTTAATCTGCTCAGTTTCCTCCAGGGTTGAAACTTTCTCCTTAAGCTGATCCAGATTTCTGGTAAACCTGTCCTTCTCCAGGTTAGATTTACTCACCTGCAGAAACATCAGGGATTATATACTATTATTATTATTATTTTATTATTATTATTATCATTCAACCTACAGTCAAAGTAGCATGTTCTGTAGGTTATATAGGTTTGTTACGTTGAGCTCCAGCGTTGGGCCAGTTACCCTTCTTTTTGGGTTTGAGTGAATCATATCCGACCGTGTATTTATTCAGTGCTAAAAAGATATGACACATAGAAGTTGTTGTGCAATGTACAATGCACAATCACATAGGACCATACACAATGTACAGTGATTGTAAAAATTTATAAAAGATTATAAAGATTGTCTCGCCATCCCACCAAGGGGTTTTAAGCGCGATTCAGGCCTATACCCATCCCAAGGAGGAGGGGGTGATAATGTTTTACACGTTAAACTACTCAACACCTTCAATATATTTTATTTTACTCACTCTTAAACTTTCTCATCTAGTTTCTTATAATTGTCTATAATGACCTGTGTTTGTAGCACTGTTCTCTCTGCGACAAGTTTCCTATTCTCCTCCTGCAGACTGACCAGCTGCTGGGTCTCAGAGCTAGCTGCCCGGGCAGACAACGAGTTCACCTTTACGTTAAGAAATATAGAAATCCGCCAAAATCCGCGCTGTAAATTGTAAACATTGTATTTGTATGTATCATGTTTAATGGTAATGTTTAATTTTCCCTTGATTTTGTGGACGAATGCTAAATATGTACTTCATTTTTTAACAAACCATTTTTTTCAGAAGCTAGAATTCAGCAAGGAAAAAAAGCTGTTATCGGTTGATTTACCTGTTTGGAAAGAGCATCAACCTCAGTGTCCCGTTCTATTTGGAGCAGCTTAAACTGCTCATTCAAGGTTTCCAGGGTAGCTTCCACAGAGCGATGCTCCTGCTGCACTTTCGCCAATTCCTTGAAAGAAAAAATTTCAATTTAAAATTACTTGTTTCTAGAACACTGAAGAATATAAAAATAAAATCTTGAAATCTCCCTAATCTTAATTTAAACGAAAAATCGTATCATTTAAGGTATCATATTAAAGAGTTTTTAAAAGCTTTGGAAAAGAATGATTTTAACAATTCATCTAAAAATTATTTCAGAAGAAGCCTGAAAACTTCATTTTCACTCATCTCATTTGAGAGCTAACAAAAAAATAATTATTTCGGAAAACTTATATTTTCTCGAAACCCTGAGATAGCAGTTTTTAATAAGATATTTCACAGGAAAAGTTCGTCACAATGAGGGGAAAGTCTGTTAAAAAATTGAAGAAAAAGTTAATGAGACGTTCCTTACAATTTCATAAGAATAAGATAAAAAATAAATTAAAATAACAGAGAGAAACTTGTTGAATAGAAAAACATGGAGTAGAAACCCTTAAATAAATCCCAAGAAAATAAAATCCTTTCTTTTTAGTTTTATCGTTCTAGGTCTTTTTTTCGTCACTTTCTTTATGTTTTTATTTTATCCCTTTATCCCTGAGATACTATGAACTAGGGTGTGTGTATTTACTCAAAAATTCTAATTCTATGCATCCCTCTAAATCTATGCATCCCTATAATTCTATCTATCCTCTAATTCTATGCATCCCTCTAATTCTATGCATCCCTCTAATTCTATGCATCTCTCTAATTCTATCTATCCTCTAATTCTATGCACCCCTCTAATTCAATGCATCCCTATAATTCTGTGTAGCCCTCTAATTCTATGCATCACTCTAGTTCTATCTATCCTCTAATTCTATGCATCCCTATTATTATTATTATTAAAGGACAACCCATCATTCAATGAAATAGGGGTCGGCGCTCCTAGCCGCCGAAACGTATCCATGGGCTGACCGAACTGGTCACCCTAGGGAGAAGACTTATACTAAGCGGTCTGCCCAAATCAGCTCCTTTTCAGGAGACTCTCTAAAAACCAGGCGGTCTGCCCAAGACAGCTCCATTTCAGGAGACTCTCTAAAAACCAGGCGGTCTGCCCAAGACAGCTCCACTTCAGGAGACTCTCTAAAAACCAGGCGGTCTGCCCAAGACAGCTCCTTTTCAGGAGACTCTCTAAAAACCAGGCGGTCTGCCCAAGACAGCTCCATTTCTGGAGACTCTCTGAAAATTAGGCGGTCTGCCTAAGACAGTTCCATGTCTATAATTATATATTTCCCTACAATTATAAAATGTATTCCTCCAATCTATATATGAATTTGGCTTGTCTGTCTGTTTGTTTGTATCCATAAACGTCAAAACGGCTGAACCAATTGGGCCCAAGTTTTGTGTGGGACCTCACGTGACCCCAGGGAAGGTTATGAATGATAAAATTTTAAAAATTTGTATTTAAAAGATTATCATTTTTTTTCAAATTTTGAAAATGCTCGAAAAAATATTATGAAATCCGCAAACCTTTTTTTGTTTATGTCTAATACTGTACAAAGAGAAGATGCTCACAGATAAAGCCACAATTAAAAATTGAAATAAAAGATGGGCACGAAGCGCCCTAAAAGCCTAGTTCTATATGTTTCTCTAATTCTATGTATTCCTCAAATGTTATGTATCCCTCCAATTATATTTATTCCTCCAATTCTATGTATCACTGGAATAATAGTAACCTTCAAATTTTATGCATCCCATCCATCATATGTATCCCACGAATTCTATGTATTCCTCCGATTCTATGCACTCCTGCAATTCTATGTACCCTTCCAATTTTAAAAGTCAAATATTACAAATTCCTCCAATGTTATAAATCCCTACATTTTTTGTAATTCCTCCTTTCTACTCGAACTTATTTTATTCTTTTTATCGCTGCATTTTTTCCCAAACCATTCCCTTCTTTTACATATTTATACCCCTCCCCCCCCCATATACCTGTTCCGTATCCAGTATGGTCTGAGAGTCCTTTTTAGCTTGTTCTTCTAATCTCGAAACAGTCATAGCAGATTTTCTCATCTCCTTTAATAAGGATATGAATCATTTTTGAAATTCTAAAAATATCTAGATTTATAGTTTCTTGAAAAATGTACGGAAAGACTTGCGGAAAGATCAGCGATACAAATCTTACAATCATTTCAAGTGAAATTCAATGCAAAGATGACAATGAACGATTCACAACGGTACCCCTGAAACCTTAATCTGATCACGTGCATGTAAGATATACCAAGTTTTTCTAGACTTTCTAAAGTTTTAGTTTGCTATCTATCTTATGCTTTTCTCTAGAAATATGTGCAAATTATGTGTATAAAATAGATAGAAAATGCATACTGTACGTTTAAGAGTACCATTGTGAATCGAGAATGGCCATATTTACATGGAGGGTCATTTAAAATTACTATTACAGTCCTAACTAAGCACCCTATTAGCCTAACAATATTTTTGACACCTGGTGTAAACTCCAGCTCTTGGTAACTAAAGAACTCAAGTAATACTAATCACGCAAACCCTAGCACAACATTGCTATAATTACCAGGGAACCAAAACAAGGTTGAAATATTAACTCAGAATTTGGAACAAGGGAAATTCATAATTTTACTAAACTTTAACAATTTTTTTTGAGGGGGGGGGTTGCCCACCAACAATTCACTTAATTAAATTAAAAGGGACCTTTCACGATTTTCTTTAAAAGGTATGGTTTTCTAATTTTGTTAAAGGGAATGTTATCAATTACCTGTTCCATTTCAGAAACAACTTCCCTTTCCTTTTTGGAAAATACAGATCTATAGTTCTCAAGTTCCTAAAAAGATTTCAATTATTTCTACATTTAATACTTCACTGTACATTTAACATTTGAGAACACCAATGTCTGTTCTTTATTTAATATTTTTATAGTTTGTTTAATTTGTTAAAATGTTCACTGCAGAAAAATATATGATTTGATTTGATTTTAAATAACATTAGTCTGAATTTAGACTTTTCAAAATAATTTTACAACATAAAAAAATAAATTTACATCCTGAAATATCAATGGCTGGTCATATGAAAGTTTTGCTTTAAAGAATTTCGCCCTTTCAGATTTGTGAAAATCCACAACTTACAAAAGAAAAATCTTCGAAATCTAAAATTGTTATGTTTTGTTCATACTGTACATTCAGATAAATGCATAGGCACATAATCTTGGGCTTAGGTACTTAACCCTTCGTGCAGACTTATAGTCTTAAATTCATCTTCAAAGTCAGTGATATTTGAAGTATAGTAAATCAGGCTATCAGCTCTTATTATTAAAATTACAAGGAAAATGGGCGCGAAGCAGCCTAAATGCCTGATATTATATAAATCACCTGTTTAAGATGTTTGTTTTCTAGTTCTAAACGATGAACCCTAGACACAGCATCTTTACCCAACTAAAGGAAATATACCGTAACTATAACATTTTTATTTTTATTATTGGAACTTGTAAAACAACAATTTAAGAAATAACAGGTTTGGAAGAAATTGCCGAGTTCTTGTCACAAATATATCTTTGCAACCTGATATCTAAGGTTTACACCACCAGGCTGCAAAGATATAGAAATTACAAAAATTGAGGTTGACAAAAAATCCATTTCTTTCGGTAAATGATATTTGATCTTAAACTAGAAAAGGACTAAAATTTTAAGCATAATTTTTCTTCATTAAAAACGATTGAAAATTTATTTTTTACATTTTTAGGATATGATACACATTATACCTGTTCTGAAAGAATATTAAGTTCCTTCCCTTGAACCCCTTTGAGAGCATCCATCTCAGCCAACAGGGATTGGGATTCACTCATACTCGTTTTGTGACTACACAACCCAATAACACATTGAAACTTTTTCAACTTTTCTCTTTCTACTTGTTTTTTTTTTTTTTGCTATTTGCTTCACCAAAGACTCATCGATTTTTTATGCCAGATTTAAAACATTTTTAATTTTTTTCTACAATGGTAAGCGATAATGTCAATACAATGAAGACGACTTTTTATTTGAGTTTTGATTGTTAACAATTTTTTTTTCAAATTACAAGCTTACAAGTATTTAAAGAGACGTTTTTTTAATTGACAGCTTCTCCTGACTTCTATGTTTATGTGTATTCATTCTGTTTAACAGCTTGATATTAATCAAAATTGAGATCAAAAGTCGTCTTAATTGTATTGATATAATTACCTACCACTGTAATTCTATAATGAACATATATATAAATATGTATATGAGCGAGAGCTCTGTTATCTAAATGACCGTATCCTGCATCAACAATTAAATTTTTTAAAAAATAAGATAAAATTAATCAAAACTGAAATAAAACTTAAAACAATTGCGATGAAATTAATTTCTATCGTGTTCTTGGCGTTCCTGAATGATAGCGTTGAATTCTCCTCAATAAGTTCCTTTATTCTGTTCCTGTCTGTATCCCGTTCCTGCTGCAGTCTCTCTATATCCCCCTACACAACAATATAATAAGTTCCTTTATTCTGTTCCTGTCTGTATCCCGTTCCTGGTGTTCTCTCTATATCCCCCTACACAACAATATCATAAGTTCCTTTCTAATAAGTTCGTATCTGAATCTCGTTTCTGCTAAATAATATTCAAATATGCACACTGCACAAGGTAAGTCGGAGAACAATGAGTTTATTTGGAATAAATTCTAATTTTTAGTGGGTAATTTCTCAAAAACTATTTTATTCAAATTTTTCCATGAATCGAAGTGAAAAAATTTTAACAACTGAAAAGACTATTAAACCACTTCTTTTTCCCGAAAGAACAGTTTTACTTTAATCTAATTAAATTAAAGCATGATTTCATAAATAATTAGAACATGGTTTTTGCTTAAAAATCTTAAAAGGTAAAAAATCTTTTAAACTTTCAATGAATGGTCTTGATTTTTGGGTAATAACAATAACAATAAAAATAACAAGAACAAGAACATAAAAATAAGAATAACAATAACAATAACAATAACAATAAAAGTAACAATACCAATACCAATACCAATACCAATACCAATACCAATACCAATACCAATACCAATACCAATACCAATACCAATACCAATACCAATACCAATACCAATACCAATAACAACAATAACAAACATAACAACACAAACAAACACAAAAGTCTTTTAAAAATCAACTTCAGTAAAAAAAACAATAACAACAATAACAACAATAACAACAATAACAAACGCACAAGTATTTTCAAAATCAACTTTTTTGAAGTGGTTACAGTTAATTTTGCAAAAAAATAAAGAGGCAAACAAATTGTGCCGCAACACAATCTGTTTTCCAAGAATACAAATTTGACCAAACAAATAATTATGATAAATATAAATATTGGTGGATAATAAAGGATTTCCCACGAAACATGAGAGAAGAAAGACGACTTGAAAGTTGTCTTTGATCTTTGAATTTATTTGTGACATTCAGACGTCAACCTACTTTAACAAATATGATTGTTGAAACAAGGACCACATAATTATCCTAGTCCTGGAATTTCCAAGATGTTGTCTGCTTTACATTTGATGTCAATTATACCGGAGATATTAAGAATTTCGTTCAGATTTCAATTTTATGAAGTTAACCCAAAATTTTCGAAATCTTAAAGAAATTCTTCTCCGGCACAAAAAAGGCAGACCACATTTTGGAAATGTCAAGAGTAGGAACCTACTCTGTGATTATTTATTCTAGAATTCTACATCTAAAATTAGGTAAAGGAATAAATGTCGCAAATTTCTAAGATATAACACGAGTTTAAAAGTCATGTCATGTTTCGTGGGACACCATGTATTTTTGAGATATATTTCTATCATTTATTACCTTAAATTTAATTATATCATTCTCTAGTCCTAGAACAGCTTCACACCGTTTCCTGCTGCTCCCTAACTGCTCTTCAAGCATCTCCTTAGTTTCTACCAGTATTCTAGGGATAAACATTATTCAGAGGGTTTAATTTATAGAAAATAACACCCACTCCTCAAAAAATCTTTTTTTCCCGGAAACATACGGATGAAGTCTTCAAGCATTTCCCTAATTACTTATCTATTGGCAATAAAAATACTGAGGTACATATTTTCGTATGATAAAAGGCCTGGTAAGCCATCAGGTTCCTTAACCTATAACTACTCCTCTCAGGAATTACGTCAGGTATGTTAGTTTTTCTAAATTTAAAAATTACTAATCTGCAATTTTAGTTTCTTTTTAAACATCAATTGAAATTTCGCCGAATATTACTTTAAAAGAGACTATAACTGTAATTTCAAGTGGGTCTGGATGCATAAATGACAATGCTCGATTCTCAATGGTACTCTTCGAGACAGTGCCAGATAAAGTATGCATTAAGTAACAATGCTGATAAGTTTGAAAACTGATTGTTTCTAAATGCAGGTTCTCTACAAAAGTGACTGGCGAATTTCTACTGCAGGAAAACATTTAGGAATTATCAGAATTAAATACCTTTAAAACCCAGAAAAACGACATTATCTTTCAAATTATGTATCAAGGGTACCATTGGAAATCGGACATTGCCATTATTGCATTGAGGGTCACTTGAAATTATGCCTTCAGTACTTTGTATGTATAGTATCGTAAAGTTACCTATTATCTTCTCTGAGTTCTTCTACTCTGGACTTGAAGAATTCAATATCATTCATCTTGTCCTTGTAGCGCATTATCTCAGCCTCAAGCTTCTCAACCTTCTCAGCTCTCTCTCGAACCATGTCAAGCTCATCCCTAGTATCATTATTATTAGAGTTATCATCGCTGGTATCATTCTTAGTAATGTCATGATCTCTGGTACCGTTATAATTAGTGTTATCGTCGCTGGTATCATAATTAGTGTTATCATCACTGTTTCATTATCTATATAATAAAACAAGACATTCGTATATATATATGTTGCCTATAGCCGGCCAAACTGCTTTGTCCGATTGGGCTGAATTTTTTTGTGGACACTCATGGGTGGTCAGGGGGTGTTATAGGCTAAAAAAATCGAAATATTTTTTTCCACGGGCAACGCCGGGCCCTTCAGCTAGTCATTAATATTTCCATCTTAAGAATTATAATTCCTTATATCAATATCATTAGTGTTATCATCCCTGATATCATTATTCATATTTCATATTTATATTAAACGACAAAGCATGAGATAATACAAATAAGCAATCGCAATGTACTTTGCAGTTTGTACCCGCCACACCAGGGTAGGTTGATTTGAGTGGTTGTCCCTAAGTTTGTCCCTAAGTTTGTTAAATTATTATTATTACTGTTCTCATCGCTGGTATCATTATTATTGGCGTTATAATCTTTAGAATAATCTTTAGAGGCATTAGCATTAGTGTTATAAATGAAAAAAACAAACAATTTAAGTTAACAGATAAAGATAGAATTGTATCAACCCTTTTACCATTAATGATTTTTCATTTTCAACAGTGTTATCATATTACCAGTAAAATCATAATAACATAATCATTATGGTCAACATCTATATATTCTTTGTTAGTTTGTGTGTCCGATCATAACTCAGGAATCCCTGGACCAATTTGCTTTTAATTAAGAATGTTCTTTGCTTGTTTTTAAAATTAAGTTGATTGGGTCTAATTTTGTAGAAAAAGTTTAGTTTGTAGGAAAAGCTGGGTTCCCGTGTCCAAAGTAGTCTTCAATGTTTATTGTTTATAGTATCATTGTTAACATCTTCAGTTTCATCATTATTACTTGCATTGGAATCCTTAGTATCATTACTATGAGTGAAATCATTTTTCTTAATTTATGATGAGTCATCATCCTCGGTATCATTATCATTACTGTTGTCATTATTCATCATTATAATTAGTTTTATCATTATAAGTCCTTCTAACTGCAGTAATGAAAATTATCCTCAGGACTGGTATCATTATCATTATTAATAGTATGATCATATTTTGTATTATTTTGTGAAATTTTGTCTAATATCATTTTTATTAGATAACTAGCTGAATTGCCCGGCGTTGCCCGTGGGGAAATTTTTTTTTATTTTGAAAGAAAAAAAATTTATGAACAATAACAATTTCGAATTGTTTTTAGTCTAAATGGGTTTTTAGAAGCAAAAACAAATATAAAACTGAATTTTTTTATGGCAACGCATAAAACATGTATGGGATTTGACATCACACCCAGCTAATGATCCCCGTCATGTTTAGATTGGCCTGGTTCAGTGGTCAGTTATCATGGTTCTTTGTATAAAGATTACAGAATTAATACTTTAAGGAACATGAAACACGAAAAAACAAAATTTAATACATATTTGGTCTGTTGCCATAACGATCTATTCGCTTAGTTCTTTGAAGATCACCGAGATTGAAATTGAATGATAGAACGAGAAATCTGAAACTGTGTCCGAATTTAATGAATTTAAGCCGCGTCTAAAATCCCCAAAAACTGGTTTTAATTGAGGGCCGGCTTAAATGCTGAAAATGTTATACAAATTTAAGTGGAACTAACAAAATTTGAGCAGCGGCTTAAATTTAAACTTCGGCTCAAATTCTTTAAATTCGGCCTCTGGTTAAATAACAGTTGGAACACAAATCTAGTTAAACATGCTAAAATTTGAAAAAATAAAAATCTGTAAGCATATTTTTGATTTTTAAGTGTTTTTTTTAAAGTGCGTGATTATTTGTTTATAGTATGGTCACTTTGCAGTGGTCAGTTACTAAAAAAGAGTATAAATTGGAAAACAACATTTACAAAGTTTAAAGATTTCACGAATTAAGTATCAGCAAATATGCAAATTCCAGCTAGTTTCCAAAAATTAACTAGATAACGAAATGTTTTTATTGCAAAAATGCAAAATGTCCGGAGATATGACGCAGAATATTTAGTGTTCATAACAAATTTTGACAAAATAATTGAAAATATTTACGTCTTGTGAACTAAAATACTTCCCAACAATAATATTTTGTAAAAAAAATCCTATTCTTATCTTACAATTGCATAAAGGCCACACCCCCCCCCCCCCCCCTCCTTATAAATATTAACCCAAGTATATATAAAGTTCGTTCATCCACCCTTTATTAAATTTTTTGATTTTTGATGCTCGAGAAAAGAACATGAAACGGCAAGTTTTTTTCTCCTTTTTTGATATGTTCTCCGAACACAAATCATTTATTTGTCCTGATCCAGCGAATAAACACCTAATTTCCAAGAAAATATACATCACATCTCTACCTTTATTCATTTTTATTTAACATACAGGATTACCCTCAAAGAATGAGACTGTATAAAATATGACGATTTTAAGGTTAATTCATTTCTTATGCTTTGAATATCATCTTTGAATGGCTTATTTTATCTGGCAAAGAAAGAACCGGTTTACAGTTGCAGGGACTCATGAATGTACGAAAATTGGTATGAATTGGTAAAGTCGTCGCTGAAGTCTCATTCTTTCTGGTTAATCCTGTATTAACTTAACTTTTAGACTAATAAATAAATCAAATGTTATCCAAAAAATCCAACGGTAGTTTTTAACATAAATAGCCCTCTCAGAACCTTTCTATTTTTATGCATCTATTTTCAAGTATCACGTTGAAGTTTTACGTCAATATTTTATATTTGACAATTTTTCAATTACATGGGAATGAATGGCTAACGATAGTATAAAAACGTTTTCCATTTTATGTTTCAGGATAAAAATATTTTAATAAAAGCAAACTTTAACAGAGTAGAGTTTTGAAATCTTGATAGTATCAAAATTTTTTTTAACCGATTCACAACACTAATTGCGATTTGTTTATTTGATCAGTCAAGTTGGTCATTAATTGGCTGATTATAAACCCCTGACTAACCTGTTGTGACTGGAGAAGACTCTGACCCCTGGATTGTAATCCTTGAATCTAGTTCAAGTCTGGTAGAAGATAGATCCTCACTCAACTCATCCCTCTCATAAACCAACCTAAAAAATCAGAATAGAAGTAATATTCTGCTGTCCCGACAGTAAATAAGTGTTCTTACCCACTATTACGAAGTTTTATACCAGGGGTGTAAAAAGAACTCAGAGACCCAAGAAGAGGGGAGGGGAAGTGGGAAGGGAAAACGGAAGAAAAGTGTAAGGAAAAGAGGAAGGAAAAAGAGGAAGAAAATTGGGAAATGGAAAGATAAGTGAAAGGGGAAAGAAATGGAGAAAGGGAAGGGGGAAAGAAAGGACTAGAGTAGTAGAAAAGTAAGGAGGGTAAGGTCTGCAGGGAAAGAGGATGGTAGGAAATGTTGGGAAGGGAAGAGAAAAGAAAGTTAGGGAAGAGATAAGAAAAGAAAGTTATGGAAGGGAGGAGAAAAGAAAGTTAGGGACGGGTAGGGGAAGGTAAAGATACGAAAGGTATAGGGAGGGGGAAACTAGGAAAGGGTAGGGTACAGAGGGGAAGGTACAGACGTGAAGAGTAGTGTACAGCAGGGAAGGGTGGGGTACAGAAGGGAATGGTAGTGTACAGCAAGGAAGGGTAGGGCACAGATGGGAAGGGTAGGGTACAGCAGGGAAGGGTAGGGTACAGCAGGGAAGGGTAGGGTACAGCACGGAAGGGTATGGTACAGATGGGAAGGGTAGAGAAGGGAAGGGGATGGTAGAGATGGGAAGGCATAGGGAGGGGGAAGGGTAGGATAAAGAAGGGATAAGGTAGAGAAGGAAGAGGAAGGTATGGAGTCGAAGAAGGTAAAGAAGTGAAGGAAGATAAAGAAGTGAAGGAAATGGGAAAGCTGGGAAGGGAAGGACTACAGCTTTTAATATCTAAACTTTTCCGATTTCAATCAAGTAGGAATATATTCGTTACAAAGCCTTTTTTAACAATGTAGAGGCAAAATTGTTAAGCATTCCATATGTTTTATAAAACATGACTCATAAGCCTAGTTTACTAAAGAGAATATGTTTGCCATAAATAAACTTCCTTCCATATTTAATTTGAACTAACCTTTTAGCGTGCTCTATGAGTAAACAGTACATTTGATCCCGTTGATCCTCAGCTAGTCCTTCAGGATTACTTAATTCTCTAGAAACCAATAGTAGAACTTTCAATATATCAACAGGGGAGTATGCTTAATATCCTGAGATAAAAAAATAATTCGAGAAATAAAAGGTGTGAGGGGGGGGGGGGTAAGATTTGAGAAAATTTGAAAATTCGAACCCCTGTGGCTTTTCCACGAAAATTTTAGACAAGTGGAAATGAATGAAAATTGTTGCATAGAAAAAAAAACAGGTTTTCATAAAGGAATATGAATTGTTTAACTTCCATCAATAATAAAAAGGTTACACAAACCATCAAGAATCATTGGACAGAAATTATAGTGCACAAACTTTGAAATCTAAATTTAAAAAAATTTAACAAAAAAATTGACAAAGTTAAATCTTTAGTTGAGAATGGTTAAAAAAGGACAAAACTGGCGGGAAAAAAAGTAGAATGGCCGGGCCATCTAGTAAGATTATTTTAAAATACTAATATTTCGTATTTGAGTCAGTTTTTCCCTAATACTCCCTAAAAATGCGTCGGACGTCTTGGAATTTTATTCTACGGCATGGTTTCCCTGGATAAAACAAGGTTAGGATTATCAGTAATTGCTCGAATCCTGTCAACTATCTCATGCTGGGTCTCCAGGGGGAGATTCTTTATAGTGATGATCACCTCCTAGATAAATAGATATACATAAGACAAATATATAAATATATATATATATATGTCTAAGTCTAGAACATAATCTATTTTTTATTAAGATTGGTTATTGCTGATATATTGCTGATATGCTGAGATATATATGTATAGATCTTTACTAAATAGCATATTGACATAATTTTATATAAATTGATATATAGATAGAATGATCTGTACTTATATATATATATATTTATTTCTATTTTTATGTATAACACTATGAATGTACCATTAAACTTAGTGTACAAAATAAATAAATTAAACGTATTTTATATGTGGAAACTCATTGAAACCTGAACAGGAAACGTAGAAACATTTGTCCCGTCATTGTGAATGATTTTCTGTCATTGTAGAGTGCATTTACCCAATGACATTTAATTTAACCAAGTCACAAACAGAATGTATACATAGTAAGCTATTATATCGCTTCGCGCCCTCTTTCTATGCAATTTTCTTAGCTTTCACATGTTGATTTAAATGCCATTCATTATGTTTTCTTGCTACATCCTGAATCTAATAATTTTCGAAGATTTTTGGGTTTACATTGCTGAATTTTCAAAACAAATTGAATTAAAAGTTGTTATTATACTTTATATGTTACTAGAAATTCAAGGCGCTTCGCGCCCTTCTTTCTTGGCTTTTAGGGCGCTTCGCGCCCATCTTCTATTTAAATTGTGAACATGTTCTTTTTGTTTACATTTTAAAACATTGAATAAAAAATTTTTGCGGATTTAAAAAAAAAAAATTCGCGGATTTTCAAGAATTTAATTTTTTTACAAAATCAAAAACCTTTGAAACACATTTTTTTAAAATTTTTATCATTCATAAACCTTCCCTGTGGTCACTTGATGTCCCACAAAAATTTGGGCCCGATCGGTACAGCCGTTTTGACGTTTATTGGATACAAACAAACAGACAGACAAACAAACAGACAAGCCAAATTTATATATAGATGGAAATGTTTTTAACCTATGATTTCTGTGCAAATTCAAATGAAAACATCTTCGGAAAGATGAATTTAAAATCCATGATTAGATTAAAGAAAAATGTGTTTCTGGGGGAGGGGGCGGTAGGGGGAAGTATTTGCTTGTTTTACCTAGTTTTTATTGAAAATGTTTTGATAGAAATGTGAGACATTGAAAACTTAAGAAATATTACTCTTACAAAGCATAACTTATTTCAGAGCTGTTAAAACACAAGATTCCGAACCCGAGCACTAAACACTACATCATTGTAACCTGACATTTGAATATATTTCAAGCTTTGACGATTTGAGGTAGGAGACATTATAGTTTGGAATATCACAGGTCTACGACACAAGGGATTAATTTTCAAGATTAGCAAGAAGTAGTTGAACTATGAAGACTAAGTTGAACCAAAAGAGAAGCGGTTCAGCTTAGTCAGCGAAGTTTGAGATTTATGGATTTTTAAGTAAGAGTTTGCTGATCAGTTCCTTTTTTAAATCTAAATACTTCGCTATATTCTCATTCAGTTTTGGTTTCTATTGATTAAGAAGGAGTAAGTGGGAGGGGAGAAGGGAAAGGGTTATAACCCTCCAAAACCAGCATAAAATCTAGCTAGGGGTTTCAGCTGAAGATAAGAAGTTGCAGATTTTATCACAAACAGAGAGGAAATTGCACCACCGCAAATTGGGCGGAAGTGCTCATTTTGCAATATTTTATGTAATAAAGTAAAAATTACGGATTTGGCTTCCTTGTAAAAAGAAGAAGAAATAAATAATAATAAAAAGAGAAAAAATAATAGGTCTCATATTTTAGTAATAATTTTGCGTCTTTAGTTTTATTCAAAAGACAAAAAAATTAATTCCTTATTGTTTTCTAGGCTTTCAAGTCGACATTTTATTCTCTAATTTCACAACTAATTGTGAGACTCAAGATTTCGCGGACATTTTTTTTCTTTCAAATTTAACCATCCTTAAACCTTCATGTGAGTCGGCATGTGAGCCGATTCGGTTCAGCCGTTTTCATAGTCTTACTTTTTTAATGTTATTATTCAACTACAACGCACAAGATAATACAAAAATCAATATATGCACAGTATATCTAACCTGTTTCTGTTCAGATTGTATCAATATATGCACTGTATATCTAACCTGTTTCTGTTCAGATTGTATCAATATATGTACAGTATATCTAACCTGTTTCTGTGCAGATTGTATCAATACATGTACTGTATATCTGACCTGTTTCTGTTCAGATTGTATCAATATATGTACAGTATATCTAACCTGTTTCTGTTCAGATTGTATCAATATATGTACAGTATATCTAACCTGTTTCTCTTCAGATTGTATCAATATATGCAATGTATATCTAACCTGTTTCTGTTCAGATTGTATTAATATATGTACAGTATATCTAACCTGTTTCTGTTCAGATTGCCTCAATATATGCACAGTATATCTAACCTGTTTCTGTTTAGATTGCATCAATATATGAACTGTATATCTAACCTGTTTCTGTTCAGATTGTATCAATATATGCACTGTATATCTTACCTGTTTCTGTTCAGATTGTATCAATATATGCACTTTATATCTAACCTGTTTCTTTTCAGATTGCATCAATATATGTACTGTATATCTAACCTGTTTCTGTTCAGATTGTTTATCAATATATGCAAAGTATATCTAACCTGTTTCTGTTCAGATTGTATCAATATATGCACTGTATATCTAACCTGTTCCTGTTCAGATTGTTTATTAATATATGCACTGTATATCTAACCTGTTTCTGTTTAGATTGTATCAATATATGCACTGTATATCTAACCTGTTTCTGTTCAGATTGTATCAATATATGCACTGTATATCCAACCTGTTTCTGTTCAGATTGTATCAATATATGCACTGTATATCTAGCCTGTTTCTGTTCAGATTGAATCAATATATATGCACTGTATATCTGACCTGTTTCTGTTCAGATTGTTTATCAATATATGTACAGTATATCTAACCTGTTTCTGTTCAGATTGCATCAATATATATGCACAGTATATCTAACCTGTTACTGTTCAGATTGCATCAATATATGCACTGTATATCTGACCTGTTTCTGTTCAGATTGTTTATCAATATATGTACTGTATATCTGACCTGTTTCTTTTCAGATTGCATCAATATATGTACAGAATATCTAACCTGTTTCTGTTCAGATTGTACAGCCACCCCTAGAACTAGAAGAAGAAGGGTCTCCATGCTTGCCAGAGAGTTGGTACTCGGTGGAATCTAGATCAATCAATCAATCAATAAATAACTTAATCATTCAAATGTAATGAATAAAATGATCTATTTTCCATTATTCAAATTACACAATTTATTAATCGATTATTTATTTACATCAATCAATTCATAAATAGATTTAATAAATTTATTGATTTATATGTTAAAATTATTACGAATTCGATTGATAAATTGACGGATTAATCAAGCAAATATGCAAATCAAATCGATCAAATCAATCGATTAATCAATAAATAAATCTATTAAATTTATGCAAATGAAGCAGACCTCAAATCAATTCATTAATAAGACATATGCTCAAATAACTCATAAATAAGCCAATAAAATAAAACTGGGATGATTATTAAATCTTTCTAGATCTCAGAAAGTAAAAATCGAGTTCAGAATTTTAATGCAATTTACAATTTTTGAAGATTTGATCTTATTTTTGACCCCAGTCTATTTTCATGCTTAATGGGTAGCTTGCTGGCTGAAAGTTTCCCAATAAAAGTCTAATCAATAAAAATGCGATAACAAAATATCAGTTCTTAAAATATAAATGAAAGGTTGCTGGAGGAAAACATAAAACCAAATATAGATTAATTTTTGCTTTGTTCAGTCAAAATTTATTTTTACTTTATCCTCATTCCTAAATTAGGACAAAACAATAGGCCAATTTAGACTTTATTTCTTCCCGCTTAGCAAAATAGAAAATAAAAACTCTCCTAAGGTCACTTCTCACGTTCTTAATAAAAAACTATTCCTTAATTTGTGTGATGCCTTTGTGAAAAATTAATATTAGATGAGGAAAAAAGATTAATATGGGAGATATATTTCTTTATAAGGAGAAAATCCACACACCATCACAAAAAATCATCATTTTTGATAATTTACTTATTTCACTCAATAAATCTGCAATTGTTTAAATCAACGGTCAACAGTTTTTGGAAGGGGTTAGGATGGGGATTAGGAGTAAGGGGATTAGGAGGATTGATTCGTCCCGGGCAGTGTCTCACCTGAGAAAGGTCCCTAGGGGCAGGTAGGGATATTAAGAGCAGTTGACCCAATATCTCCTGAAACCAATGAATAATTTTTTCCTCAGTTTTTGATTTTTAATTATTTTTTTCTAATAAAGATACTTTTATTTTTTGCTATGAATTCTTTCATTTTCTAGAGAACATGAAAGTAAAACATGACATTAAAGTCAAAAATTTTAAGAAACTTTCATTGGCAATTTTAAGAAATAGCAAAAATCAGGTGCACTACAATAAAAAGTTTTACACAAAACTTACAAAAAAAAACATACTGAACGTTTAAGAAATGTGCTACCTTATAGAAGTATTTGATACTTTTAAGAATGAGAAGAATATTTCTTGCTCTGGCCGCAGTATCAATAGGATCAGAATCAACTGCGATCTATGAATTAAAGTATTATTAGGAAGATCAACGGAGATATAAAAAATAGATCAATAAAGATTTCAAATAATAGATCATATGGATTAATAGAGAGGATAAGCGAGATATCAATAAAGAGATCGCTAGCGAGATCAATAGAGAGTTTAAAAAAAGAGCTCAATAGAAAGATCAATAAGGAGGTTAATAGGGAGGTTAATTGAAATACCAATAGAAAGAGATCAATAAAGAGTTCAGTAGAGAAATCAATAGAAGGACCAATAAAGAGGTCAATTGAGAGGTCAATAGAGAGATCAATAGAAGGATCGATAATAAGGCCAGTAGAGAGATCATTAGAAGGATCAACAAAGAGGTCAATAGAGAGATCAATAGAAGGATCGATAATGAGGTCAGTAAACAGATCATTAGAAGGATCAATCAAGAGATCAATAGAGAGATCAATAGAAGGCTCGATAATGAGTAGAGAGATCATTACAAGGATCGATAATGAGGTCAGTAGAGAGATCATTAGAAGGATCAATAAAGAGGGCAATAGAGATATTAATAGAATGATCAATACAGAGACCAATAAAGAAATCAATAAAAAGATCAATAAAAAGGTCAATAGAGAGATCACTAGAAAGATCAATAAAGAGGTCAATTAAGTGATCACAAGATAGATCAATAAAGAAATCACTAAAAAAATCATTAAAGAGGTCAATAGACATCATTAGAAGGATCAATTAAGAGGTCAATAAAAAGATGAATAGAAAAATCAATCGAGATCATTAGAAAGATCAATAAAGTGTTCGTTAGAAAAGTCAGTAGGGATCACTAGAGACAAAGCATTCAAGGATATTTTGTAAATCGGACATGCCACTCTGTAAAGGAAGGTTACTTAAAATCACGTTTTAGAACTATTTATGAGTTTAAAAAGGTGATGCACCTGAAAACTTGCATCTAACCCCTCCAGGAGTGTAGCCAGAGTTACCCCCTTTGCCAGGAGTTGCCATGACAAATCATCCCCTCCTGGCAGCAGACTTGAAGTCCACCTAAACAAAAAAATGTTTTAGAATGGGACAATTTTAGTTATTTTCTAGCACGTCATCAACAAAGGGGTGTAAATATTCTCGAAAACCAATGTTTCTGCCCTCCCCCCCTAATTTTGAAAATTATTTCTTTTCCTACAAAAGAAAAAGTGCAGAAATTTTTATTCGCTGAATTAGGGAAAGAAAATGAGTTATAAGGGACCCTAAAAATTAATGAATTTTTGGGTAAATAGTATCAATAAGAGTTAAATTAATTTTAAAGAATATGTACAACCTCTCATCGACATACCGAAATACAGGGGCATTTTGACCGGCGCGCTAGTAGCCAACCATTACATTATGGGCCATCTTAGCACAGATTTTACATGTTGTATGTCAATTTGTAGGGCACGAGGAATTCATCTCTGAGGTCAAAATAAATATTGGAGGATTCTGATCGGAGCGCTAGTAGCCAGCAGTTTTATTATGTGTCATCTACCCACATATTTTACGTGTTATTAGTCGATTAAATATTTGCTTTTTATATAATTGTGTGTGTATATAATATATAAAAAAAACAGTATCAATTTCAAAGTTATGTTGCTTACAGTTGCAAAATTACAGATGGTAATTTTATTATAATAAATGTTTAAGAGTTGATTAATTTTAAACAACAAAACTTACCGAACCAAGGGAGAGGAGAGAAAGGATTGTATTTCCTCTTCAGTTGCCATTTTGAACAAATTGTTCAATTTTAGGGAGAAATCATTTTTCTATAATGAATACCAACAACTCTTTATCCTAATCATCTGAAATAGTAATCCTTTTATATGGGTTAAAAAGGGAGTATTTTCTATAATGAATACCAACAACTCTTTATCCTAATCATCTGAAATAGTAATCCTTTTATATGGGTTAAAAAGGGAGTATTTTCTATAATGAATACCAA